TATGCACCACCAGAAATCCTCACTTTTTGCTTTTCAGCTTAATCTAAAACCAAATTACTCCCAATAAGCTGCAGTATTACTAGCAAACAACAGTTATCATGCATGCCAAACCGCAGGCCATGGAATGCATTTTTTGCGCAAATCTGTGAGAGCTCCCGCAACTCCGCATGATCATTGGCCTCGTACATCTTCTTCAGCATTGGTTCCGTCTTATATGGGAACTTTGCCTTTGGATCATCGGTTCGGTCATTTGGACATTTACAGTACCGGCACAACTGTTTGATGTTTTTGCCTCTGGACCGAAAGGAAAGGCACAAACTTGTCACCCTCATCCCCATCACATTTGACGAAGGGGATAAAGAAGACGAGCTCACAGTCCTTGTAAAGTTTGCCCTTGTACCAAATATCCATGACCATCCCTCTTTGATAAGCTCATCTACACTCTTCAGGAGCTCCTCCAGGATGAATGATAGTCGGCCGCCTTGTCTGGATCCCCTTCCTTTCCGGTGTACTGGCCTGCTGCCTGATCATTTGCATTTGCTTCCCTTGCCGCATCCTCGGCCGCAACATGGCCCGACTCGGTGAAAATTTTTGTCCTCTTGAATCTTCTTTTGTGTAATTGCTCACCAATCCGAGGGCCCTCCATGAATGTTCTTTGTCCCTGGCCTACGGTTCAGGATGCCCAGGATATTTTCAATGCGGTAACTTGGAGCTTGTCAAACTGCCCTGTTACAGCCCCATCAATGTAAAGAGGTAAGGGCACCAAAATTTGCTTGTCAGGTTTGGTGATCAGCTTCTTGTACGTCTCACGATATGCTAATCCTGTATTGAGATCCCCAATTTGCTTCAAATCGTTGGGGGTGGTGCAAAAGGATCTGGTTCACCGTTCTCGTTATCGAAGAACAGCCAATCCTCATCCTTCCATCGTGGATCAGTCAGAAGGCTTTCGACAAGATCTCGTGCATGTCGGCGATATATTTTGACCTTAGACTTGGTATGGGGCAACTTTCTCTATCGGTTGGGCATACTTTTTGCCCATGTTGTACCGCGTTTTGAGCTTCTTCATCAAATTTTTGCGCGAAATGAACTCTTTGCACTCACCAAGTGATTGGTGTCTGCCAGCTTTCCACATTCCTGAAGTGCCATTCCATCACAGCATCGTACGTATCAAAGTGGCCTTCTTTTTAACAATGTGTGCATGATCTTGATTGCTGCTTTCTCGTTTTCTTGAGGGGTATAAAGTTTGACATGCATCTCTCACATAATCTTGAACTCTTTCATTGTTTGCCTACTTTGCTCATTGCATTTGCCCTCTTGCCCATTATCTGCATTGGTTTGAGCTTCCTCATCAGACGGATCACAAATGGATCAAAGAAATCTGCAACATCACTGGAGTCGGCTTCACTTGCCCATCCACCGTATCCACTTGCACATTGGGAAGGGAGCATCGTGTGATGCGTTTTCACTTGCCTCAACGTCTTCTCATGTGCTCCTTGTGTAACAGTTCTCCGTCCCAATAAGCTGCAATACTATCTGTGGTGTCATCCACTGGTAAGTCACCTCTTGTCTGGAGTGCTTCCTTCTTCTCTGTCAGTGATTGTTCTATGGCCTCTAATTCTGGCTCCAAGTGCTCTTCTTCCTAGGTCTTTCCATCACTATTTTCCTCTGCACTGCTTGTCTCCTCATCATCTCTTGCTCTCCTTTTTCACCACCGCCATTGTCATCATCCCACGGTCGTTGTCGTGGGAGTCAGGGTCAGTCCGTGTCTGAATCGAATGCGGGATTCGGCAAACTGTATCCTGATGCCGCTTCAAACCCCAGTCGGTCTTGCACGTTTTAAGCAGTACGGGCACATGAATTTGACCATCGTGCGTGTTTATTTTGTGCAACTGGAAAAGATTTGAGGGTGGCCAAAGTTTTTGCCTTGGATAAAGCGCAGAATGCGGTCAGGTCCAAGGGGCATAAGGAAAATGAATGCCGATTGCGAAAACTGTTTATAGCTTGGTGCACAAAGAATGTGCCCATTTGCATGTTGAAGCAGGCGCACCCACAAGAATCTTGTTCAATAGTAAAGAATGTTCTATTCTCCATGCACTTTCGTTAAGCATATGCGTAAACACTAGTTGTAGCCTTGCTTATTATGACGCAATGTACCGTACGAATCTATAGGCAACATCAAGATCATTTGACGCAAAGCTGAGTTAATAGTAGGCACCTGCATCGGACTGTAGAGGCTCTTGCACAAGACCATCACGCACAAGCACACTGGTAAATTGGGTGGCTAAAATGCGCTTCTTAGATGAAGAGAATCCTGTCAACTTTGAGAAAGGGCCACATTGATTACTTTCAAGCAATGTCAGACCTGTTGGATTGCTTGTACGTGTACTCACCTCATGACTATGAGAAGGTGCTGCATGCATTGAAACAGGGTCTACTATCCACCAATGGCAAGTGTTACTCTATGGCTGAGATCTCCGACATGCAAGCCTCCAAGGTCTTCAGAGCTAGGTACTCCAAATATCTAAGGAAGAAGATGAGAGAACCAGAGACCATGAGACAGAAGTTGCAACAGTGGTTCTGCAGATACAAGGTGACTGCCAGTGATGGTAGCCAGCCAGGACAGGGCCGACTGGATCCAGTCAAGAACTTTACCTTGTTCACACCCGATACCAAGCCAGCAGTAGAGAACTGTGTTGACAAAGCCATTCACTTGGCTGATCCACTGCCTTTGGAAGACATGTATGACACAATCCTTCCATCACCCAACTCCAAGCACAGCCTCCCAGAGTATCTGTCAAAGAGAGGAGAATCCAAACTGGAAGCATTCCATGACAAGTTTGCCCATTTCGCCAATAGTGGCATGAGAAGAAGTCTAGCAGATGCCCTCAACCTTGCTGGAACAGCCAGATACAACCTCAACATTCGACACAAGAGAGCCTTCCTGTCAAGAATCAGTCTGGAAGAAAGGAGGTCAATTCCAGCTGCTGGATGGGAAAAGGTTGTTCCATACTGGAACACATACTCAGAGTTGGCTTACCTCAATGAGCTAGCAGTGGCTGTGGGTCTCAATGAACCATTTCCTACTGCAGAGCCATTGCCACAGGATAATGGAGAGAGGTTCTTTTCAGAGTTCATTGTTGCATTCAAACCACAGCGGCAGAAGTATGCACCCAATGATTGTTGTCTTTGTGTCGCATGTACGCGATCACCACTGAGTCCACCAGCAATAGAGCCACCACCGAGTCCACCAGCAATAGAGCCACCACCTCCACCGGCAACACCGCCGCCACCTCCACCACCACCACCACCAACCCAAGCAGCTGTGGCACAAACAACAAACAACTACATGAGTAACCTGATTCAATTTCGACAACAACAGATTCAAATGATGCAACTCGCCATGCAAATGCGGCAATTCCAACCTATACAGCCATCTCCTTTCCAGCCACCTCCACCAATTGGCTGCTGTCAGCGATACTGCCAGTGGTTGACTCATAGGAGAGGAAGACCACCTCATGATGCCAATTGCCAATCTAGATTTAGTGGATACTCTGCATAGAAATAAGAACAAAATATTAGATGTGCAGTGACAAATTCTTTTCTTATGTAGTAGCCATTAACTTACATTCAAGGTCCTGGTTGGTGCCGGTTGGTTGTTGTTGCTCTGTCTCCATCCTCCAAGATTGTCAAAGTCTTCAAAGCAATCTTCAACAAATCTCTCACTCATGGAAACAAAGCTCAAAAAGGAAATTTTGTTGTCATAGTCATACCAATGGATAAGGTACTCATTCCAAGCTTGCACAATCACCTGTCCTCCATGCGAGTAGAAGTCATAGCTGCTCTCAGGCTCCATAAGCCTTTCCCTCACCAACCAAAAGATGCACTCAATGAAGATGTTCTTCCTCTCACAGCCATCTGGTCCCTCCAGCATTTCATAAAGGGTAGAGAGCACATGCTTGTACCATTTTGGACCGACACTCTTCTGAAGTCCCCAATCAAACATGTAATCCATGATGCTTGTCATTTCAGGAGGAAGAGGCTTGCATCCTCTTTGGTAGATCAGCTCCTCAAGAATAGGCACATCAAAGGTATTCGTCGGCACACAGCTGTACTTCTTCTCGTTGTTGTTGACACTGGGATCCACCTCTTCTAAAATCACATACTCGCATGTGAATCCATGCCTTGTGGCCCTCAACTCATTGAATGGGTAGTATGCATTAACACTTAGCAGCCACTTGGAGAAGGTGGAAGAAATAGTTGCGATCCTCATTGTCGAGTTGTTGTTGTTGTTGTTGTTGTTGTTGTTGTTGCTGCTGTTCGACGTTCGTCCACGATTTTTGAATAATGGGAGGGTATGGTATGAGCGAAGGAAAAGGAACAGAAAAAAAACGAGTGAGATGGCCGGCTTCCGTTGGGTCAATTTGAATTTGACATCAAGACATCAACGAACCTCTCCGGTGACGTATTTGCTGACATATTATTCTTCTTCGGGCGTCTTACCTATGGGGAGATGATCGGTCATTGCCTCCTCCCCTCTTTTTCTATAAGTATTTATTCGATGGATCGTGTGTGCGGTGTCCGTTATGACTTCTTTTGGTCAACGTCAGGCCCTGCAGGCTCACTGGTTCGGAATTCGGAATCCCAACCGTTAACCCTCTCCCTTTCTTTTTTCTTTTCCCTCCCCCGCGCTGGTGCCTAACCCCCCCTAAAAGTCGGGGTAGAGGGCTCAGGCAGATAGACTGCCGAGGTAAAGGTAAAGGGGTTGAGAACTCAGGCAGTTAACCTGCGGAGGTAAACAGGTTCAGAGATCACTGGGGCCTGCCCGGTATAGTGTTTTTCTTCATGGCGACCTGATCATGAGATCGCTGCGTTCCAATGCCCTCTCTTGGATGCTATTAACGCAGCGGGGCAGTGGCCGAGCCATGCGCTTGTCCTATAGGAAAAGCAATGTTGCTCCTTTCAAGATGCACCAACTCTCATTCACAACCGTTCGAAGAAAGATGACTTCATCCAACAACGCGGCAGAGAATGACGATGACGACGAGGCTACTACTAGGTTCCAACTCACACCGATCCAATCAACTTCTCTGCTGGTTGCCTACTGGCGAGATTTGGAAACTCGTGGACAGGTGGACCACATTGCCCAGCACAAGCCCTTGATTGAGGATCTTCCCGCGTCGGCGTTGCTGAATGCCTTATTGTCGCCCTCGCAATTGAAATCCTATCAGCAAAGTCCCATTCGGCCATATGGAATCGAGTGCTTGGCAACACGAACGAGGGCTCTGGATGATTGGCTGATTTCTCCAAAAACAACAAAGCAAAGCCAGCAACGACAAGTAGTCAATTTGGGGGCTGGAATGTGCTGTAGACCATTGAGATTGGAACAGTTACCCCATTACGTGAAGTCATGGTGGGAGGTGGATTCGGACATGAATCTTCTTCAAATCAAACGATCCGTCCTACAAGCTGCAGGATATCAACCTGAACTTCCCATTGTGGATGTTTCCATGGATTTGTCTTGTTCCAAATCTAGCTTGAAATCCAAATTGCATGCCCATGGATTTGCGCCCGACGCAATGCCCACAGATTGGATTGCGGAAGGATTGTTTGCGTATCTCTTGCCCGACCAGCATGACAAGTTGCTGCGAGAAACCGCGGCATTGTCGACCCGGGCTTCACGCTTGGCTGCGACCGTCGCCGAACCAGCCTTTAATGAGTTTTGGGAAGGAACACTGGGAGTTCAGCTTCCCTATCAAGTCCTGGTTCCCGTCACACAAATTTTGGAACAGGCACAAGCCTATGGATGGACTGTCGAGAGGCATATTCGGCCTCAAGATTGGTCTCGGTTGTATCCTGGACGAGGAGAGCAATTGCCAGGGTACAATGTCATCTTTTTGGTCAAAGATTGAGTGCAGAAAAAATACTAACGTAAACGCACGATGTTGTACAAATAGAGCTCTGATGGCAGTAGACTGTACGGTATCCAAGATCGGGCCTGTCAGCATTCTCACGATCTATTCATGAGAAATGGCAGTCCAGATACTGTACCGTAGCTGTCGCCGCACCAAGCCAGATCTTATCGTTCTGTACCGGTACCGGCAAGCCCGATTCCCGCCTGAAAACATAAACAACTTAACCAGCTTACTTCTCAGAAATCAGAATTGGTCGACCTCAACAAGAGGTCCCTCCGGGTGCGCCAACCCGCATACCGTGTATCATATTGTGTAAAAGGAAACCAAATTACTACTGCACTACGCTAAAAGCTAGTGTAAAGATCTTTCGAGTGTTTTGAGTTTGAGAGAATGAAAGTTATGAGAGAGATTAGAAAGCTATGAAAACTAATCAACGAGAGAGATCATCATCAAGGGATCGTAGATCTGGCTTCCCGCGGGAGACTATAAAGTGTGATAGAGTAGGTTGCGGTAGTAATCCTACGTCTCTCCACGATCCTAAAACGGAACGCGTGGAAGGTTTGTCTAGCTTGGATCTAGTAGCGTGGAAGTACTCCACGCTGGCTAAATATCTAGAGCGATGTTTCATCATCAACCTAGTATGACTAGAGCGGTCATTGAGAACCCTGTCTCAAATGACTATTCACGAGAGACTCAGTCATGAGTCGAACTCAAACCCTATCTATGATCGAGTCGCGAATAAGGCTAAGAGCCGTGTATTGCATTCGCCCCCTGACAAGGGTCACAGAAGGCGCGACAGCAGTCGGACAAGGAGAACATATGATTTAAAGTGCGGGGCACTCTCCGGATATTTGATGTAGACATGTGCGTCGCGACGATGGCAATCCTACAAGGGGATCAGGCCTTGTATGGGTGTATATACCTTATGTTCCAAGTCTGGTAGACTGTGCGCCGTTGGCGGTAGCATGTTAGAGCCGTACAGTGCCATTGTCATTACTCGGTCTATGTGTAAGGACCTTTGTACTTTGGCTGACCGTACTTGCGTGCTGATACTGTTGAATCATCACGGTATCGTTGACATTGTATTATGAGGGACACGCGTCGCGTTTTCCCTGCGTTGTTTGTTGGATTAGTCGTTGGCGACGTTCTTAATGTACTTTCCAGTTGCTTCGAACCGGACGTTGTGAATCGCGTCACATTGAACAGAGCTGTGCGGGGTTGCGCGCAAGGTGGTATGAATCGTGGCATTCATTGCAAGCGAACCGCCGTGAGGACTCCATCCCAGATCCATCACGAGATCGTCTGGCACTTGAGTTGAACAGCGATCAAGTTACGTATGGTTGATAGCAACGCTCGACCATAGAGTTGCTGAGGAGGCGTAGTGATGAACTGCACGAAGTCCATATCATCCAGTCTTTGACCTCTGTGAACTCGCCCTGATCCATATAACCTCAGCAGGCATGGATACCGAGTAAGCCCGTTTGTTCTAGGACGATGCTACTTCGTCTGCTGCCTTTGGAGCGATCTCTGCAATCTCGAACCATCCGGTACGGGATCAATCATTTGCAAGCAATGAAGTGTGCAGAATTCTTTTTCTTAGGATCCCCGACGTGTAAGGGCCTATCAGGTCAATACATAGTCTTTCCAAGGGATCTCCTCGCAAGATCTTTGGAGGCATCAATCCCAGCTTACGCGTCTTGGGTTTGTTCATCTGGAGCTTTGCATCGCTGACGTACGGCCTGCACAGTTTTGCGCAGTCCTTTCCAGGTATTAGTGTTGGCTATGGTTAGTTCTGTTCGAGTCTCACCAGGATGCATCAGCACACCAATGGTACCATTCAACTAGCTTTTCTGCATAGTTTAGGTACGACCGATTTTATCTGTCCTTAATGACTAAGTCGTAGGACTTAATCCCCTCTGCGGAAAATTGCTTGTTTAGTCGTATGGCTTGTTCCCTGAGGAGTTTCTTTGTATTCGTTGTCGTCTTTCTGAGATGTTCGATCTCTCAGGCGAACGAGAGAGGGAACGTCGCTAGGGAAGTCCCTTCGTCTGCAGCCATGAGTTCAGCGATCTCGCTGGCTCCATCTGTTCGAAGAACCGTCGTTGTTGGAGATGTTAAGTCTCGAAACGCATCAGCGACGATGTTCTGTTCGCCCTTGATGTACCGTAGTTCAGGGCTTATTCTTCCAGAATAAGGCGCCATCGCATTACGCGATCAGTGTTGAAGTTCTTACATGTAAGATTCTTGTGGTCCGTATGTACAACGATCTTCTGTCCTAGAAGAATGTTACGGAACTCTTTTCAGAGTTTCTATGATACTGAGAAGTTCCTTTTCGGTAACGGTGTAACGTGTCTGAGCAGGGTTGAGCTTCCTGCTGTAGAACGCGATAGGTTTTCCCTTCTGGGAAATTACTGCACCTAGTTTGAGTATCACTCGCATCCGTGTGGGTAACGAATGTATCGTTGAAGTCAGGGTAGGACGATGAGCAAGGTTTCTTTGCTGATGATCTTCTTTCATCTGGCTAAAGGCCTTGTCGTGTTCCGCTTCCCATTTCCACTTCGTTGTTTTGGAAGTCAACGAAGCGAGTGGGCCAGTACATGTGATCGTCTATCCACATGTCTCGATAAGTAGTTCACCAGTCCAATGAATCTACGGAGTTCCTTCCTGTTGGTGAGGAGCGATATTCTGGATCGCGTCTATTTTCTTGGTTATGGTTGATCCCTTCTCGAGTAATCCAGTAACCTAGGTATCAAGTTTCCTCTTTGCGAAGAGACTTGTAGCATTGATCTTAAGTCCGCTTCTCGAAGCCTTTGGGAACTTCATCCAACTTTAAACGTGATCTGCTAGATCGCCGTTGTAGGATGAGTAGATCATCAATGTATGCACGGACGTATTCTAGTCGTGCTATAGTGTTCCCATCTTTCTTGGAAGATGTCGGACTATTACATAGGCCCATTGGCAACCTCTGGTACTCGTACTTCCCCACGGGAGTACGATGGTACAGAGTTGCTTCGAGTGAGGTTGACAGCTCGATGTGATAGTATCCCATGTTCAGTGTCTAGACTAGTAGCGTATTTGAATCCATCTAGATTCAAGAGCATGTCCTGTATTTTTTGGGATAGGATAAGGCTTCGTCTTATCCTTTTGTTCAGTTCCCGAAATCAGAGATGAATCGTACAGATCCATCTTCTTGGAATGATGAAGTTGGTGCCGCCCACTCGGAACGTTTTGAGTACTCCTGTCTCAGAGACGTTCAACCTCCTTTTAAGAGTGTTGGTATGGTCCCGTGGAATAGGATAAGCCTGGCATGATAGGGTTAGCATCAGGAGAAGTTCTACTTCGTAGTCGTCCATCTGCCACTTTCCAAAGTACCATCGAATAGGTCAGAGTACTTCGTCAGTAAGGAATGAAGCTGTCCTTCTCTTCCTTGTTAACTGATCTTGACTTTGGCAAACCTGCTTAAGTCAGCTTGTTCGTATTTCGCATCAAAATCTTCTTGAGACGATCGCACTGTCATCAACAGCAGTAGAATCAGGAATGAAGAATTTCTTCTTCATTGGTGTCGCTGTCTTTCATAGGAATAGATGGCGCGTCCATTCCACTGACATGGTAGTGAAATCAAACTTGAATCCTAGTCAGAGAGAATGTCTCGACCTATGATCTGTCATACGCCCCAAGCTCTGGGTGACGTGTAAATCCCATCGATAATTCTATCTTCTTGGAATTCAGGAATCATAAAATGCACCTTTCACTTCGTGCTGGTGTTTAATTCTCCTGCAGGGGTAGTCCACATCGTTTGGACGCCCCAAGATCCTTCATGCGTATTTCTTAGCATGAGGTTGAGCAATCAAGGTTCCGATTCTCGTATCCAGTAAGCAACGGAGTGTAACGGTTTTGGTTTCCTTTTTTCTCGCTTGTTAAATCTAACATAGACGATGGGTTGAGGTCTCTTTTCTTGCGACGTTTACGATGTGTTGGCCACGGACGAGTTACAGATGCTAAATAGATCATCAGAGTCTAGTTGAGCAGCTTCTAGGCAATCATCTAATTTGCCGTAGTGTTCATCAGTTGCAAACAATTCTTGTTTACTAGTTAGTGAGATATCTTCATCACTTTGGTATGAGAAATGGAACATGTTCCGTTGATCATCATCTGGCCTAATCTCAGATAGAGATTTCTCATCAAGTGATTGAAATTGTGAGGAGTTGTCCTCATTGTCAGAGTCTTCTGATTTGCGCTTGGCAACATGGTTGCGAAGTTTGCAAGTGGTTGCACGAGTATCGTCGATCTCGTTTTCTTCGTCATTGTCGACGAGAGGAAGAATGGGTTTGTCACGCAACTGTTTCTCAAAGTTGCGGAATGCATGCTTTCCTTGAGCCATCTTCATGGTGAAGGAATAGGTTGAGGGTAGCTGAAAGCTATTGTGTTTGTTAACAAAATGCACTACGCTAAAAGCTAGTGTAAAGATCTTTCGAGTGTTTTGAGTTTGAGAGAATGAAAATTATGAGAGAGATTAGAAAGCTATGAAAACTAATCAACGAGAGAGATCATCATCAAGGGATCGTAGATCTGGCTTCCCGCGGGAGACTATAAAGTGTGATAGAGTAGGTTGCGGTAGTAATCCTACGTCTCTCCACGATCCTAAAACGGAACGCGTGGAAGGTTCGTCTAGCCTGGATCTAGTAGCGTGGAAGTACTCCACGCTGGCTAAATATCTAGAGCGATGTTTCATCATCAACCTAGTATGACTAGAGCGGTCATTGAGAACCCTGTCTCAAATGACTATTCACGAGAGACTCAGTCATGAGTCGAACTCAAACCCTATCTAGGATCGAGTCGCGAATAAGGCTAAGAGCCGTGTATTGCATTACACATGGGTATGTACTACTGTACTGGTAGGGGATGCCAGCCTTTTTCTAGGTTTATGCTGGGTCCAGCTATACCCTCTTCAAGTTGCATATTACACATTTCTTTTGTGGCTGCTTCAACGAAATCTATTTTTAAAACACGACTCTGGGAAGGACTTGTCTCAAGACCATACCACGACCCTAAACCGATGTCCCCAACAAGCATTGGAGGCTGGCTCCTTGTTGGCAACCAAAATAGCCGTGGTTTGTGGCTCTTCTTCGTCTTGTTGTCATAGGCCAAAGGTTGCTCATTGTCGTTGGCAACGATGTCATCTTTAATGGCCAAAATCGGGAGGTTGTAATAAGTGTCATTGGTAAGGTCCAGGACGGGCTCTTGCTTCTATAAGGCATCAGCGTTCAAAGCTGAGCTGTTGTAGGCGGCACCGATATACATTTAGCAGTCAGTAGTCACAGACGTCTCCTCCTAGGCAATGGTGAATACGGTGAGGGCCCCAGGGCGTGATTTGTTGGGGCGGTGATCAGCGAAGGTGTTGTTGGACACAGAGTTGGGCTTTCTGGGCTTGTTGTGATAGTAGGAAACATTGTCAGGCAAAGGTGGCTCCTGGTAATGTGGGTCTAGGAATGCTGGCCACTGTATCTGTTGTGGGCCAAAGGATTGTTAGTAGTCAAACAACCCTTTGAAGACGTCATACGAACAAGGTGGGTTCTTTTGGCAAGCTCATACTATCCGACACCAACGGCATTCCTTCAGCCAATGGTGCTACAATGCTTGTCGCACACAAAGACAAGCTTATCAAGCCCGAAACAGCACCGTTTGGAGGACACAGTCTCCGTCGAAACTGGAGCAACGACAATTCCAGTCATAGGCACACTGTCACGCCCAATGAACAACAAGCCCGTGGACGACATTTCCACACTGAAATCGACAGCCAACAACAAGACAGTGACGGCGCTGCTACTTCTCCTACGACACATGGCCTCGCCACAGCCAAGAATAACAATTCCTTCGGTCGGTTGTATCTATGCTCCTACAACGGCATTTTTTCCTGCCATTGCCTATGAGAAGCCATCTGTGATCGCCGACAGCACGGCAGTAGAAAAAAATCAGCAGTAGATGGCATACTGAACACACGGCTGGCAAGCGAGTGTTGGGCATCGCGTTAGAAATTGTGGTCCTTGTCGGTGGCCACCGTCGCCATAATTGTACAGTACTAGCAGTATCTGGTACCAGTTTGGGTGGGACCAGGATTGTTGTCATGTCGAGTGAATTTGTCGGCCTCGTCAAGCTTGGCTGTGACGGGCGTGGCAATGGGATCGGCAATGTGACTGAACGATTTGACGTTGTTGTCCATGAAGGTCCCGTCGTGGCCGACCGAACATAGCTCCTGGCAACGGGTGTCAGCTTTCCACGGTCAAAATGATTGTTGCTCTCGTGGCTGTTGGCCGTGAGGACAAGGTTGGTTTTGCAATCGTTGTAGGGCCAACGGTGGCTCATCGTAGGCGTTCATAGTTAAAGGAGCGTTGGGAAATATAATTGTTTTGTTTTCCCGTCACTACTACAGTGAATGTTGACTGCAACAGAGTAGTGTGGATGCTGGAACCAAGAAATTGTTGTCGTTGTACGCGGAATTTGCTTTGCCACGTCAAATACTGAACCTCTAATGGTGTCTAAAGGTGGCTCGCCGTAGGCGATCTTCTTCTTGTCGGGGACCAAGGGTTGCTCATAGGCGTAGGCAATAATGGTGTCACCATAGTTGTCAACCAAAGTTGATGGTTTCTCATTGTTGATGGTTTCTCATTGTTGTTGGCCGAAGGTCAAATCAGGGTCGATCCATTCCGCCACACAAACTAGTGCTAGACAAGGATTGCCACAACTGCAGCGGTAGAACAAAGACCAACTGAATCTGGCTTCCGATCGGAGATTGACTGTTGTGAGACCAACTTCCCTAGGTACGGATGAGACCTGAACCCAGTGGGAAATTTCGTACAACACTTCAGTCGCCCTCCTCTCAGAAAAAACTGTATGATGTTGTCGTCGATGCCGCTTGCTGTTGCCACTTCCTTGCCTCTTGTTGTTGCCAGTCCTGTTGCGGCGATCCGATGCTGCTATCAACCATGGACAAAGCTGATGCTGCAATCAACCGCAGACAATGCCGACTTGATGACATTCACAGGCTGGAGTCAACAGGCCGCATGTATCGATCCACAGACTCTCCTCTCTTCTTGTTATCCGGAGCGATCGATCGTCGACAATGGTACTTCCTCAGTCGTCAGCAGTGAGAGAATAGAAAGTATGAAATAGATATCGTGATGGTGCTTAGCTAGCTAGTAGCACATTACCAAGCCGTGCAGTGATATTGCGGTGTGATGGAAGGTGAATCTTGGTGAGCTTGTCTCCTCAGCTTGACAGCCATTTTACAATTTTGTGTAGAACCTTGTAGAAATTCTACCTGACAAAATGTTCAACCACTGTCCGCCGTGTTGAGGCAAAATTCTGACAGACCAACCCCAGAGTAAAGATGGGTTGGCGATACTATTTGTGATAGCTGGTACCGGTACCATACTGTACATCTACTCGTCGTCTCTGTTGTGGTTGCATTCACCATGCCCTCGCTCTTGTCTGATCGCTGCTCTTGTCCCGGTCCACCACACGTGGATCTGACCGAGGCGTACATCGCTCAACATCAAGCATCATCACAGCCTCCGCCTGAATCGCTCAGGGACTGCGAGCGAAGCCTATTGAGTAATTTGAAAGAACACGGATGGTCACATGTCACTGTCAGGCTGTCGGATCTTCCCCAAGGCTCTCCTCTTGTCGTTTCCTCGGCAGATGACGCCATGAAGGATGCCAAATTCCAATGGAAGAACCCCAAAGAGTCCATTTTGCGTCTATTTGATGATTCAGCTTTGATACCAAATGCTACCTACCGAACTTCTGAAAGTGGAGCTCCTGGCGAAAGCTCCGTGGAACCAAAAAAGTCATGGGAATCTAGACGTTGCACCTCTTACAACAACAATAATCAGAACGACGAACAGTCAGAAGCATCACCATTGGATTCGGTCACGAACGCGTTGCATTCCATCATTTGTACCGTGAATTGGCTGCTGCACTTGCCACCCAATCTGTTGATTGCCCAAAGACAAGATACCCCTGGCACACCAACAAGACACCAATATGGTTGTTTCTGCAACAAACACCAAGATGGTTGCAACTCACATGGACCTTGCAATCTGGATTTATTGAGAGTTTTTCACTATGACAAAGTGGAACCGCCAAAGAACCAAAACGATGCGATCATGGGAAGTTCCCCGCATACTGACTGGGGTTCGTTCACGGTTGTGTGGCAAGACACCGTGGGTGGATTGCAGACGTATTGCCGCACTTGTCAGGCGTGGCGAGATGTTGAGGCATCGTTTGACGATAATCTACTTCGGTTTGTCATACACGTCGGGGACGCCACGAGTTTGGCAATGAACTGTGGCCGTGAGCTGTTGGGTGATGGAGAGCATCCATCGAGTCCCTTCTTCCCGTCACCCAAGCACCGCGTTCTCTCCCCAGTCACTGAAACCAGAGTATCGCTCGTCTACTTTGTGTATCCTTCCCCAGGGCAATCATTGGAATCTCTTGCAAGTGGGGTAGCTTCTTGGCTGGAGACGGACCAAGGGAAAAGAGGAGGAGCGCATGCCAAAACACCATCACACGGCCACATTCCCTATGAACACTACTATCTTCTGCATGATCAATCAGAAAGCAATAGGAATAGGTTGCCCAAGGATGTCTATTTGGAAATTTGCAAGCGCTCCATGGAGCAGGTTTTCGCAGAAAAATGGACACAGGTCCAGAGGTCATGATTAAATTAAATTATCCACCGACGGGCTCGCCCTTTCCATTAGCTTTGTTGGGTAGCTGTCGGATAGCAGTCTAGCTAGTGGTGGTGCCCGTACCGGTGCCGGTACAAGAGGGGATAACTTAAAAGTAAAAGAAAAAGGAGAGCCTCGAGTGACATTCGATTGGCACCCGTACCGTACGCACGTTCCAATCGAATGATTCTCGTGAAAAACAACAACAACCAACCAAAAGGCCAACTTGGAAGTCAAAGAGAAGAAGCAGTGCTCCCTACAATTTGAAGGTAGGGGTTGACTCCAGTTTCGACTTTTCAGTACCAAAGCCTCTACGTATCATAATGAAAACAACAATCAATTCGTACCTCTTTGCTAAAACAGGTCCAGATGCCCACCTCTGGCAGCACATGCACAAGTGCCTTCATCCCAGGGACAGCCATTTTGACGTGCCCATTTCAACAGGTCCAGATGCCCACCTCTGGCAGCATGTGCACAAGTACCGGCACCCCATGGACAACCATTGTCTCTGGCCCATTTCAAAATTCCAAAATGTCCACCATAAGCAGCCTTTGCACAAGTATCGGCATCCCATCTGCAACCATTTTCACATGCCCATTTCAACGTATCCAAATGACCATGTTGGGCAGCATTTACACATGTACTTGGATTCCATGGACATCCATTTTCACGGGCCCATTTCAACAACTCCAAATGCCCACCTTTGGCAGCATTTATTTGCACAAGTCCATGCATTCTATGGGGAGCCATTTGCACGGGCCCATTTCAGTATTTCCAAATGGCCATGTTCAGCAGCATATGCACAGGTGAGTCTACCGGTATCCCATGGACAACCATTGTCTCTGGCCCATTTAAGAATTCCCAAATATCCACCTCTGGCAGCACTTGCACCAGTCAATTCATTCCATGGGGAGCCATTTGCACGGGCCAATTTCAGTATTTCCAAATGGCCATGTGCAGCAGCATATGCACAAGTGAGTGTATTCCAAGGGCGACCATTTTCATGGGCCCATTTCAACAACTCCAAATGCCCACCTCTGGCAGCATTTGCACAAGTATACGCATCCCAGGGGCAACCGTTTTTACGCAACCATTTCAATGCATCAAGACCCCCCCCCGGGGCTGCCGCAGCACATGTATCTTTATTCCATGGAAATGCTTTATCATGTGCCCACCGAAGAACAGCAATGTTTCCGATCATCGCAATGGCTTGGCACACCTTAAGACGAGTAGGCATCTTATTGGTGGAATTGTCACAGAGCCATAATTCTGCTGTGGTCTCATTTTGGAAAGCAGCACTACACATTGTGGATGTGCTAGTTGCTCGACATGTTTTACCACACTGATGGTTCTGTACCATCGGTGGATCCTCCATGGAATCACAATACTCCTTGTAGACGCGATTCATGTTCTTGCTGACAGCTCCTACAAATGCATATTGGCCCATGCCAGCAAAAGGAAGGATGCCATTGATCCAAACATCTTTTTGCTCCAGCAATGCAGGAGCATCAGAGTCTAATTTTTGCTTTTTAGGTTTTGGCTTGGAAGACATGATGATGATGGTACGGTAGCCAGCGTAGATGAAAGGCAAGCGAAACAAAGGATCAATAATATACCGGGCAGACCCCGGTGATCTCTGAGGCCATCTTTTATATACCGGGCAGACCCCGGTGATCTCTGAACCTGTTTATTGTGGTGGTGGTTGGTTTTGGTTGGTTGGTTATCCTTAGGGTTAGAGTATAACTAAAATCGAAGCCCCCTCATGGGCCCTCACATTTCTTACACATTCTCTTATAGCAACGGATCCTGAATATTTTCCTGACATTTGCACACCTCCCGTAAGCTACCAAGCCACTTTCTCAGATGGAAAAATCTAACGTCTAAACTCCCGTAAGCTACCACGATTCTTTCTCAGACGGAAAAATCTGACGTCTCACGTTGCACATCTCTAAACTCCCGTAAGCTACCACGCCTCTTTCTCAGACGGAAAAATCTAACGTCTCACGCTGCACACCTCTAAGCTCCCGTAAGCTACCACGCCACTTTCTCAGACGGAAAAATCTAATGACACTACCTTCAGCCAAACTTCAACAATATTACTATGCCGGCCCATATTTTAAGTCAGCTCGCCCGGTATATCTATTACACCTCCGGTGTCCTTTTTGTGGTGGTGGTGGGCTTTGGTTGGTTATCCTTAGGGTTAGTGTTTTATTTAATGGACTTCAGCCCCCAGGTGGGCCCTCATTTTCCGAATTCCTCGCACTTTCTCATAATCATAGCAACGGATCCCAATAGATAGTTTCCTCACATTGCCCACATCTAAACTCCCTTAAGCATCCAAGCCACTTCCTCAGACGGAAAAATGCAATGACTTGCGTTGCACATCTCTAAACTCCCTTTTAAAAGCTACCAAGCCACTTCCTCAGATGGGAAAATCTAATTACTCGCATTGCACACCTCTAAACTCCCTTAAGCTATCAAGCCACTTTCTCAGACCGAACAATCTAATGACACTAGGTCTAACTTCAGCCAAACTTCAACAATATTACTATGTCGGCTCATCTTTTAATTCAGCACGCCCGGTATATCTATTACACCTCCGGTGTCCTTTTTATAAGTCCTGAATTTCGACTGTTCTTTGCTTAAGCCTGGCCCCGGCTGGCTTCCGTAGATAATTTCCCTGCTCTAATCCCCCCCTTAAAACGAAAAAAAAAATTATTATAAGGTTGGTTGTCGGGTTCAGCGTTGTTGACGGGGCAGATCCACGCTACTATGCATACATGTACCGGTACCAGTACCAGTAGCATGGGTCTTTTTGCTGTTAGCTGAGTGAAATGATGTAGGGTGACAGTCAGTCTTCAGAGTCATTTACGGCTCTGCCGGTTTAATCTTTGCCAGCTGGGGTTCCGACGACAGCTAGCTAGCTAGGACGAACAGAATGCAAGATGGTTGGCATCACCCACCTGCTGAGAACATGGTGCGTATCACGGTTGTTGGATTCGAAAGACCCTTTGTTGGCAGCAATGACAGCCACAACAAAATCCAAAAGCCACAAATCGACCGAAGTCTCTAGCTAGCTCGTTGCTTCCTCTGAAAAAAGAATGAACGAAGAACAGGAAAACCAACGGCGAAGTTTGCTTTTGGCCATGTTGTTGTCGATGGAGATACCCACAATGCATTCGGCAGGAAGTGCTTCTCATGAACGAATCCAGAGTCAACGGCACCGTCGTCTTGCCATGGCCAAACATGAGTGGTTGACACCTCCAAGACCAAACTGACACCTACCAACAACCAAGGAAACTTGTGACAAGACGGGACCATAGCTAAAAGTTCCAAAAGACTTCCTCAAGATCCCGGATTGATGCACTGTGTTCATCATTATTTGATACTCACCAGACAAAGGCTCAAAGAAGTTACCCTTCTGTACGAACAATCAGCACCCTATGGGGCAAGGGTTCCTTGTCGAAAACCAAAAAAAGGAAAATGAAAGAGATTTGAAATTGTCATTTCTGCGCCGGGGAGGGCAATCTGGATTCTTAGATCAGTCCTAATTAAAATTTCTAGATTGCAGCATTGGCAGAGTTATCCCCTTTCTCCAAATTCTCCTGTATGATACCCACCTTGCAACTGTGTTGTAGCTACAGATAGATGCATGTGAGTGACATGTAGTAGCTACAGATGCATGCTTACTTTGTTTTCTCACTACACGACAGGTACGCAGATGCGTTCATTCAATTGGTGGATGAATCAAAACTTGGATTAAAAAAAAGGGAGCTATATGTGGACTCGTTGGGATATGTGGGCTCGTTGGGGTTTCAGGATCTTTTAGAAGGAAGCAATTGCTGATGAAAGCGCTACATGTAGGTGCGGTACATGTAACACTCTTCAAATTGCAGCAACCATGCTTTGTGCTACCTTATCCGTAACATCGAATCGTGTCGGAAGCACCTTTTTCAGCCGTTTGGGGGCGGCCAAATCTCCCACCTTTCTCTAGATACTGCTGGTGATATTTTTCCGCAGGCCAGAAAGGCGTTGCTGCCTTTAGTTCCGTCGCAATCGGCCTTTTGTATTGAGTTTTGACAGCTTCAAAGCGTTCTCTGGCAATCTTCTCTTGAGCTTTGGAGTGAAAATATATTCCAGTTCTATATTGTTTGCCGTAGTCACGACCCTGTCCATTCACCGTAGTAGGGTCCACACGCTCAAAGAATGCATCCAATAGGCTCTCATAGGAACATTCCTTGGGATCATAGTAGACTATAACGGCTTCAGTATGCCCAGTGGCCCCGGCACAGACTTGCTCATAGGTGGGCATTTCTTCCTTTCCTTGTGCGTATCCCGCCGCTGTTTCCACAACACCTGGTACCCTCTGAAAGGCCAGTTCCAGGCCCCAAAAGCACCCACCCGCAAAAGTGGCTAGTCTCAAATGAGGGTCCCTCTCGGACCGTTCGGGAGCCTTTCCTTCTTCGGCAAACTTTGCCAGCTCGGGACCTGGGTGATCCAGTGTGGAATAGTCAATCTTCAAATTGAAGGCACCGCCCCCAAACAGATTTCCAAAAATCATGGCCAAACCAGGCTGGCGACGGCGACGAGTGGTTTTGGATCCAACCAACTTTAACGACGAGCTTCGTGCGGCCGTCACCAATGTGCGAGCGCCAGTGGTGGCAGGCATCTTGTGGCCTGCCGAGAAACTGGACGCAGTGCTTGCTAATGCTGCCGATACAATACGACGAAACATCATCTTGGTTCTCAACAACTACAAGGTATGGGACTGTCACTCTGTTGTCTCTTCGCCTCTGCCCGCCTCTCCCGACACCGAAGATCGCAGGATGTGACTCAGTCAGAAATCCTGAACCTTACCGGTCCGAAATCTTTTGTCTCTTTGTGTCCAAGTGGCTCTGCTGCTTTATGGTTTTCTGATAATCGCGATCTGTTGTGAGCTTCGATGTCCATGGCACACATCCATGTAAATCGAACGGGCTCCATACTATTCTACCTTGAGCTGTTGTTTAATAATCCAAAAGGGCTCCATCCACTAAGTTCGAGAGCGGTGGCTAAAGCGGCAGAAGTGTGTGAGGAACTTTGACTCATACGGTATACGGCGTATCGATCAATCTTATTTGGTCAACCACAATAACGTATAATGCTGGAACTTCATCGGCTTCTCCAATCTCAATTCGATCAATGTTCTGAAAACTGTGGTTGGATTGCAGCCTTTGTGGCAGCTTTGAGCTATGGAGTGAGTACGATATCTTTATCTGCACCAGAATGGTACTGTACATACTGTTGACAGCTCATGCATGCATTGCCCTTCTTTTTTGTGGTAGACTTTCGGTGTGCCCATCAAGCAGACAGTTTCAGTGGATGTTCATCCCTTGGTACTTCAATCCTACAAGACTATTACCATGTTTCTGTTTTCCTGGTTCATTATCTACCTGGGTGAATCTATCCGATTCACTCCATGGGGATTGCTCTCGGGCCTGCTGTGGGTTTGTGGGGGGACGGGGGGTATATTTGCCATTCGAAATGCAGGCATGTCCGTGGCCGTTGGGACTTGGAGCTCTTGCATGGTAGTCATCAATTTTCTCGTCGGCATTGTTTTCTTTCAAGAACCCGTGGCATCCATTCCAAGCACATTTGGTGCCTTTTGTTTCTTGGCAGTTGGATTGGTGGGGATGAGTATCTACTCAGCCCCAACTACTCAACAGCAACAACAATCTGCAACATCATCAGAAGATCGGAATATTCCATTGATGGACAATAATAATCCAGCAGGTGACATGCTGCTGGAGGAGGATGTGGATTCCGATGACGAACGTCCGGATCAACAAGAAATGACACCAATCACAATCACCCAAGGAATTACCAGTCGATTGCGGTGCATTTCACCTGCCAGAAATAGAACTACCAGCAATAGCGCCATGGTTGGTGCGGAAGTGCCCGTAGGCAGGCGATTGAGTCCTTGTCGAAGCCGATCCAGTGAAGGACTAGATGACGCAATAAATAACGCCACCAACACCATTGGTGCTCCTGCCTATGACCCATTGAGAGATCCTTCTCGCGAACCAGACGACAATGACGATCCAATAGGGGGAAGGAGGAGATGCAGTGAAAATGACAAGAAAGATCGCCGCTTTCTCGGATTTTTTAGAGAAGCAGCCACAATCAGCATATTCAACACCAATGGTCTCACGAGACGACAACTTGGTATATTGGGAGCCGTCATCAATGGTGTCCTCACAGGAAGTTCCCTTGTTCCTATTCACTATGCAAAGAAACAAGGGTTTGGTGGAGCCGCCTACATGTTGAGCTTTGCATCAGGAGCTCTTCTTGCCAACATCACGATTTGGATCATTTGGTTTCTGGCAGAATTCATCAGAACCAGCAGCAGTCACCACCAACAACAACAACAAAGAGACGCCACTGGCAGAGGTTCTATAGTCATCAGCAGTTGTACGGCAACTTTCGAATCCATGCCTCCAGTGCACTTTCGTCAACTTTGGGCACCAGGATTTGCCGCAGGGACTCTGCTGTCCATTGCCATGTTTGGAAGTATCTTGTCTGTTACCTACCTGGGGCAAGGGGTCGGAAACAGCATCATCCAGTCCAAGATTTTGATTAGGTAAGGTGGCAAGAAGAAGAGTTATTGTGTGGATGAACTTCTATTGCCAACACTGTTCACTCATTTCTTTTTCTCGTCTCCAACTTGACAATGAAAGTGGGCTTTGGGGCATTTTCTGGTACCGGGAGATTGTGGGTGGAGTGAACATTGCCAAATGGTTTGCTTCAGCTGCTGTGGCTGTCACGAGCATCTTGTGGCTTAGCTATGAAAGAATCCACTCCAAAGCTGCTGTCAGTGTTGATGCACATTTTTGAAAGGCCAGTCTTGTCCTTCACTGCGGCAACCAGTTGGTTTCCAAAAGGGACATTCAAACAATGGACAGTCCAATTCGCGCGGAGGATTCAAAACAATGGGCATTCGGTTTCACGTGGAGGATACAACAAATTTGTTCGCGCAAAACTTGCGTACAATGTTGTAGTCTAGCTAGTATACTCCACAGTACTGTATGGGGCTAGCAATCCCATCTCATAAACCACCTTGAAAGTGCAGCAAGACTAATCCCAACTAAAACCAGTTGAATGGTCCTTCTAAGTTTTACCTATTCCGTTACGGTTACAGTATTTGAACAAACTTCAGTATCAATCTGACTTGCAGTAGTGATTCTGCGGATCAAAGGTCGGTGTCAAACTCTACTTTGTTGTGTTCTGTGCGGAGAAAAATGATGTTGGCCAAGGCTCTTCAATCTAACATCCTCGGTGTAACTTCTTCTGCTGCCCATTTCATGACAAGAAGAGCTGCAAGACCAAGGAAGAGAGGACTCGATCAAACATCTGGTAGCAAATTGCACCGCCGCTGTCCATCAGTAGTTTTGGCTTTTTTGCTCGGTGATGAGGACGAGTTTCTTTCCGTTGCATACGGTATTTCCGCTACAGTTGCAATTCATTTCAACCTGCAGAGGTGCAGATGCATAGAACTAGTCTACCGTCTTCTAAAAGATCGTATCGACTTGTATGAGTCACCATCTTCACGATTCTGCTGGTTGGGGTCGGACCATCTCTGCATTGCTACTCGGCGTTCCGATCGAGCATCGTACCGCTGGTGGTAGTTGTCCTCGTTGTCGTCCATGTCGACGTAGTAATTGTAACTCACACCGCCATGTTCATTCTCGCTCGAGCTCACACTGGTGGTGAAGGAGCCGTCTGCAATCTTACCAAAGTCATCGTCGTCATCATCTTCTTCGTCCTCTTCTTGATTCCACAGGTCAATCAATTCCTCTTCGGTCCAGTCACTCTTGACCTCGACGGCAAAGGGATTTTCACCTTCAAACCAATGCTGTTTGGGCCTCATGCCGGGTGCAATTCCCTTGTCTCGAATGGCAGAAAACAGATTGGACCAATCCTGTACTGTGGGCCCCGAGCTATTGTAATATTTCCAGGAGAAGTTGGGGATGGCCTCTTCCATGGACGAAATTTTGAAAGGAGTCATGGGCGAGGACTCGGGGGGTCGTCGTCGTTGTATATGATAATGATGCCGTTGGTTGATCAACCATTTTCGCAAGTCTCGATTGGCATAATCGCTGGTGGGTATTTTCAAGTGTCCGTGCCGTTGAAAGTACTCTTGCAGGCGGTTGAGCATGATTTGCCATTGCGTTTCCTTGAGATTCCAGGAAAAGTCGAGTGCATCCAGGAGGCGTATTCTTTCCGCCGTGATGAATCTAATGTTTGTTGTTGACTTCTCGTCACTGCCACTCCCTTTTTGCTTTGTATGATTTGCCGCATTTCTTTCATAATCATTGTGGTCATCACCACCACCACCATTATCTTTTCCGTGCAATTCATCCCAATGCCGACGAGCTGTTCTCTGGTTCATACACCACTTTCCCAGTGCAAAGGTGGTATGTCGTTGGACCAAATCGCCACCGTCACCATTAATCACTTTGATGACGACGGAATGTTGATAATTCTGCGGGACGTGAGCATTTCCAAATCGTTGATGATATTCCACGAGATACTGATAATACTGCGCCCATGCTTCCTGCTGCGTTCGGTAGTCGTCAAAGACGCCCAATTCTTGAAACTTTTCCAATCGTTCGGGTGTCAAATTGGTGGGCAAATCTTGCACCCAAAATCGATACTCGCGGCGTTGATTGCTGAGCCACACGGTGAGGCTTGGATTTTCTGAATGCACGGGTTCGTGGCCGTGTTTCTCCAAAAAGTCTACCAATTCTTGGTACTGTAATTCCCAAGTGGCATTCTGCAAATCCCAACAAAAGTCGACGCTTGCCAACAGTTTGCCTTTGGACTCGGAGAGTCGCGGTCGTCGTTTGGCCGTCACGTCAGCAGATGATGTTGGTTGTGCGGCCTTTTTTTGTCGGACCCTTTGTGTGAATTGAATCTGATAATTTCGTCGAACGTTGCGTGACCACTTGTAGAGTTCCTTGTCGTGATAATCCGGCGGGACAATCGAATGCCCATGTTCCTTGTAGAATTCCTTTAACCGTTGGAACATGACTAGAAAGGTATTGCGTGTCTTTGGTTGGGCAGCGCGTTTCCGGGCTATGGTAACTGACCGTGAAATGGATCCTGGAAGACGACTCTTGGTACTTGTCGTCGTGGTACCGGTAGCTGTAGTTGTAGAATTGGAATAGGATACTATCTGGGGCCGCCGCCAATGGGGATTCTGAGCAAAGAGGCGTAGACTTCTTCGTGCACTATACCGGTAGTGACATGGTTGCCGAGCCCACGCATCGACAGATTTCATCAGCCCTAATTCATGATGGGAACATGTCATGGACAACACTGCGACCAGTAGAAGCAGCCAATTGCGTGCCGCTGTGGGCTTTCCATAGCGAGAACGCTCCTTCTCCTGCCGTGGTCGTTTCCTCCTGATTCTTGGATTTGTAGTCATCGCTGCCCATTCAGCATCCCCTTCCAATTGCTATACGGTATGTAACAAAGAATGAGCCCTCCTCACAGCTTTTATGCTTCCACAGCCAGTGACAACCACAAACATCAAAAGGATCTTGAAACTTGATGGGTGGTTCGAAAGTTGTGGAGCTGCGTCACCTGTCATGGAGCTCCAGAAATTCTTTCGTATCCGGTAGATGCGGTAAACCTAAGTTTACACAGAAACAATCAAAACAGATCGTATCCTTAACTCTTTATTTACCTCAGCCACCTTTCACAGTCAATCTTCCGTGCTGGTAATTAAGGCGGAGTTTTCATCGAAGGGTTAAGGATTACAGTACGAGGACTTTGAAGGAGGGGTAAACCTCGTTTGGCCGGAACATAGATTTTTAAAAAGATGCAGAGACACGAGAACCGCAAGACCACGAAAGACACGACAAAAGTCAATTGCCGCGCTTCCAACTGAGGAAACTGAAATACTTGCCAACAACTATAATAGCTACTAGAAGTAAAACGATATCAGTCCAACGACATGCTCGGAAAGTTTGGCCTTTCAGAAGGATCGTCAGCGGAGCCTTCGGTTCCATCATTCGCATCTGAAGCGAGGTTGCTCGTTGCCGAATACGCTGGCGGTGCCCGAGCCGCGAGCTTGCTAGTTGCGGCATACGCATGCGGTGGTCGAGAAGGGAGCTTCTTCTTCTGCTGCTCCAGGACAGCTTCTGCGCGTTCGCGCTCGGTCCTTTTCTCCTCGGATGACTTAGCTTGACCCAGATACGTCGACAGTTTCGTTGGGGCTTTCTTTGGTTGCGCTTTGGCATTCACTCGAGCGGCCTGTCCTGCCTGAACAATCTGATCAATGGAGTTGTCATATTCGGTGAACGAGTCAGCGGTGACAGCAGGGGCATCCGCAGCTTCGAGGTTGACGTGGACCAGTCCCACAGCTGACTCCGTTGGCAACGATGTTCCCACTTTCGAACCCTGGCGTTCAAGTGCTTTGTTGAGTCTTGACCGCCTTCGCGGTCTCTTGGCTTTCGGAAGCGCCCGTTCCGAGATATCGCAAACTAGATCGCTTTCCTCGTTTCCTCCATTCCGAACAGATTCAAAGACTTTACGTAAGCGCTTGGAACGCACATCTGCAAACTTGATTCCGCGTTCATAGGTCATGTAGGAGTCGATACGAGGTTGATACGACCTCTTTCCCTCGACTCGCTCGACGACTGGGGCCAAAACCCTTCGAGTTTCTTCGGGCACCCAGCCTGCGTGTTTGGTCAAAAATTTGAGTATGCCGTCCATATCCGGAACACCAAAGGAGAATTTTGTTGTGGAATTGTCCACGACAGGGTTGGTATACGCCGATATCACTGCATCCGATGGAAAGCTCTCCGGTGCAATCCATTTGTTCCGTCCTGTCCTATGTTCATAATGGAATCTCTGCTCCTTGGAAAGAACTTTTCCTTTCTCCTTCTTCGCGTTTGCTTCTACAACAGGTTCAAACCCGTCCAGCCATGCCCGAAATCTCTGAAGCCCCCCTTTCAAGTCTTCCGCCACATTGAAGTCCCGAATAACCTCCATTCCGTTGACAATGCCCACGCCTTTCACGCCCTCTGTGTAATCTCCTCCCAACAACATGGCCAAAGCGATCATGCCATTGCGTCCGATACCCAACTCCCGTTCAGCGTCACTAGCTTTGTAGATTTCGACGTACTTCTGGTCGTCGAAGATGTTCTTATAGATTTTCTTGGCACCAAATACAAAGGCATCGCTATCTTCTGTCACGACACCATTGACAAGCCCGAGCTTTTCTAATTCAACGCACTGCGCCTCAGCCTCGGCAGGGGCCTGCACCCAAGGCACACCAAACAGCTGCAACAAGCACTTGATTTCCTCCTGCATTTCGTCTGTTGGGGCCTCGGAATCGCGCTCTATTGATGCATCGGCTATCTCAGTCTCGTATTCTTGAATCGGCTCCGCCGTTTCTTCAGCGTTATCAGCGTTGATGTCCAGTACGTTTTCGCTGCCCGAAACAATGTCGACCGCGTTATTGGCTTCTTCGGACTCAGGTCGGAGAGGGGATTCGTCTTGTTTAGTTTGTTGTCTTGTCTTGACTTGTTGATTGAGATGTTCTGGCTCGCGTTGTGCTGCCTTGTGATCAGCAATCGCGCGTCTCATGGCTCGTCCTGCCCAGTTGGTCAGATTTGCAGCTGTTGCTTCCGCCTGTTTTAACGCCGTATCGTTGTCAACTTCAACGCGGCCACCAAAGTCGCCATCGCCCTGAATGTCCACATCCATGAATGGATCGTCGTCTTCCTCTTCGTTCTCAGCTGTCGACCCGGACTGCTGTCTGGGAAAGTCGCCGTCCTCTGTTGACGCCGATTGCTGCCTGGGAAAATCACTGTCCTCTGTTGACGCGGACTGCTGTCTCGGCAATCCGCCGTCCTCCATCGACGCAGACTGCTGTCTGGGGGTTTCTACCTTTTCCTCCCCTTGTTGCTTTGGCCTGTTGTCGTCATCGCCATTGTCCCCATCTTCCCATTCAACTTCATCATTCTCTCTTCCGTTGTCACCTGCTGCTTGATCGACAGCTTCGCTTTCTCGTGCATGGTTCGTGGAACCAGCCAGCACAGTTTTCCCAGGAACAGACTGCGAGTTTGGAGTGCAACTTTCCTCAGCATCAATTGCCTCGGAGCCAATGTCTCCTTCGACTGGATCCGTGTCCTCCCAATCAACATCGTCGTCATCACCAGACTCATCAGCTTCGTCCGCCATCATTGTTGGCATTACGATTGGTGGTTTCATTGGCATTGGCGCCGACGTCTTTGCTTTCAGTCTTTTAAGTTCGTTGTCGCTATCGAGTTTGTGAGACTCGAGATTTCGACTTGATTCGAATTCATGGTCGGGTTTATTGTCGTCGTCAATCGTGATGACCTTGGATTCTGCGTAGCTCGCCGCGTAGTTTGCATCTTCTTCTTCCTGAAGCGCCTTGGCCAACATTTGATCTTGAAGCTCTTGCGCTGCAATGTCGTCATCATCAACACTGTGAGCAGAATTAGACGGCTTGCCAGCCACTTTGCTTGGTTCATCGTCAATGACTACGACTTCATCGTCAAGCCCGGTCGTCTTCAACTTGGCATAGCTCTCAACAGGTTTACCGCGCAAGAAACCGCCTCCTTCCTCGGAGGAATCATCGTCGTCGACCCGAAAGAGGGGTCCGGCCATTGTAACGGCTGCTTTGGCAGAAACCGGAAGTCTCCGCGCCCCTTTGGGTACCCTCCGACTGGCGGGCTTTGCTGCGTCGTCATCCCATTCTCCGCCAGCAGTATCTTCGTTATCGTCATCTTGAAAACGCACCTGCCTGCTCTGAGTATCTTGTGTTTGTTTCCTGTGTAGTGGCTCCTCCCCATCAGTCTGAAGAGAGCTTATCCCCGTACCAACGGTTTGGGCGTTGGTTCTCTCGCCGGAGGGTTTTGACACAGTAACGCTCTTCATGAATCCTCCACCCGTTTCCGAATCGTCGTCGTCGTCCGCATCCACAATTGCTTTTTGTTTGTTGGAATTTCCATCAGAAGCAGCAAAGAAACCCCCGTCTGCATCATCGTCAGAACCCATTTCTTCATTTTGAGAGTGCCCCTGGAATCCCACTTTGCGAAGCCGATGAAAGTGTGGACGGATTCCTCCATCTTCGTTTTCTCCGGTAGATTGCTGGGCAGACTGGCCAGTTTGTTGCCTTGACCTAAGTCTTCTAGCATTGGTGGGTCGTTCGTCAGTTCGCAGGAATCCTCCGTCGTCTGATTCCCCTCCTTCTTCGTCTTCGTCATCATCGCGCCCACTCGAGTCATCACTACTGCTGCTGCTAGATTCGCTGTCGTCGTTGAATTTGAAGGGGAACCCCTTGGACCTTTTCTTCTTTTTGCTTGGTGAATCCGCATCTTTCTCAAAAATGATTCGCCTGGTCCGGTCGGATGCCATGACTTCGCCTTGATCTTTGGAATCTCTGTGGACGGCCTTTTTGGCCATTTTGACAATATCCTTGTTGAGTTTGGATGATCTGAGGAAGTTGCGAACCTGTGTGGAGGAATACTCGGCAGCATTGGCCGCTACCGGGAGGAACTCTCGTCGACTGAGCATTCTCTGTTTCTTTTTTGCTTCTTCAATGGCACCTTTTCTATCTGTGGGATCCAACGACAAGATGTAGTCTTCGTCAAAAAAGCCGTCTTTGGATTTCCTCTTTTTGGATCGATGTTTCTTGCGACGGCGGCTGCGTCCGCTACTCCAAAGCACGTCATCGTACTCTACTGCTTCGTCCTCGTTGGATGATTCGCCATTTTTCTCTTCCGCCTCGTCATCGTAGTCCTCGTCGTCCTCATCCCCATCGACATCAATTGGTTTGTCCCAATCATTGTCATTCAGTATCTCCGTACTCTGGGTTTGTTTGTGAGAGCTGTTGCCATCTGTGATGAGCAGTTCTCCATTTTGGATCCGAAAGTTGGCGGCATCCTCACTGCTGCCACTATTGTCGTTTTTCGCAATTTCACGTTCTGGCAACGAAAAACCGGGTGCAAAGGCCCCCCCTTCATCATCCTCTTCTACATTGTCATCATTGTTGTCGTTTCCATTATTGTTCATGTGAATGGCTACCTCCCGTTTTTCGTTGACAACAATTTTGGCCTGTGCTCGTTTCAATTGTTCCATCAAGAGTCGCTTGGCCATGCGTTGGACCGCCGCCTCTCCATGCTGGGCGACAAACTGATCTCTTCGTCGTCGCCTGGCAATCAATTCTCGACGCTTGATTTCTGGAGTGGGACCGTCAAAGATAAACACTGGACGAATCCCATGAAATCTGAGCTTGCAAATCCGACGAAAGAATCCAATAATGTGCGCAGCAGGACGGACCGAGCCCGTATCGGGATCTTTCATGGCCTTGACGAATTGGGTCAGCCAAATACTGGCATCCACTGGTAGACACAACCAAACAACCAAAGAGGAAGGAAGTACCGTCAGTACAACGCGGAAGTAGCTGGTAGCATTGCGACCGTGATCACTCACCTGCCAGAATCTGCCCTTCCAGCGTTTCCACATCAATTCTCACGCCAATAGGCAACAGTAGCTGCCACAGACCCTTTACACCCATTTTGGTTCTTGCTTTCTTGTGTCGGCAAAGACACAGACACCTCAAGTGCTTTGGATTGGTATGAAAAACGATTCGAATGAAAGATCAGACGACCAGACTGATACCCTCTTTGGGAAACTGACCTTCAACTATGCCAGAGCCACGTATAATATCGACACCTATAGCCAGCAACAACCAGGAAAACTGATCTCTTCGTTCATCTCATGGGCACATCAATATCAAAACACTGCTACACTCAGAGGCTTCGCCTTATTGGACTGTTCTCAAGGCTTCGCGCAAGTGGAATGAAATTTTTGAGAGCTTTTGAGGTGGGCTTAAAATGGTGCCGGTAGCTGACAGCTTAGCCATTTTCTTTTGAGTCGAGTAAGTCGAGTCATGAGTCGATTGACGAGTAAGCTTCGTGATTGATGACGTCATCCCGTTGTTTTATTTGGTTATCACGAATGAAGTCCAGACGTGGATACCGTGCTTGGTACCCGTACCGGTACGACGGGTTTTGTCTGATGAGCCTAGACTTCTTCTTCTTCACATTGTCAAACCTTTAGAAAGCAACATCCAAAACCTCGACCACAAAACAAACAACCGAAGGCAGGCGAGCGCAAAACAAGAAAGAAAAATGAACACGAGCATCCTCGTTCTTCCCAACCCCCGGAAGCAACACGCCATTCGGCGGCTCCACAAGGACTGGAGAGAACTGAAACAAGAAAAAGACACGCTGCCAACCATCTCGGCTGCTCCCACCTCCAGCATTTTCGAATGGCATTGCAATCTCAGGCCAGATCATGGACCATACGCGTCCACAATCATTCATCTGATACTTCAATTCACAGAGGATTATCCACACAAGCCACCTCGAGTAAAGCTTTGCTCGTGGATGAACCACCCCAACGTCTTTTCGGGAGGGTACATATGCCTTGACATGATTCAACCATGGGGACAACGGTATCCACAACCCTACACGGGCTGGACCTCGGCATACTCGGTTCTCAGTCTGTTGCTGCAGCTGCAGTCCTTCTTGTTTGCCGAGAACATTCCTCAAATATACGGCACAGCAAAGGGCCTCCTTGGTGGGAGACGATCCAAGGGGAAAATTGGCGACGCCATTCATCGTGCTCAACAATTCACTTGCGCAGTCTACACACACGACGGAACACGGAGAATACACACGCACAGCAACCCGTGGCCGCCTCTGCCGACAGCCACGGGTATGGTTCCGCAGCCATCACTATTATCACGACGAGACACACAACGGGCCAACAAACCCCTTCCTTTCCTGCCACGCGAGATTTTTACAAAAATCTTTTCCTTTCTGAACATCAGAGGGCTGGTCCAGGCTCGGGATGCTTGCGCCGAATGGGGAAGAATTGTCCATTCGTTCAACCTATTTGAACGATCCCAAGTCATGTGCTTTCATACCAAGGCCACTGTCGACGACCCGGACACCATCCTGGGCATTGGCCTGAGCGTGGAATACTACCCAGACGGCAAGACACTCAAGATGGCCACGTCGCCGCTCGATGTCTTGTCACTGCATGCTTTTCAGAAGGAAAATATCCGCGGGGACGTTTGGGGAACCCGTCGCTTTGGTTTCTTTCTGCCGCTGGTCTTGAATCCTGATCATTCCGCCCGGGCTGTGGACAGAATGGAAAAAACAATGTATTCCATTATGAAGAACAGCGTCCTGCATTCATACGATAGCAACAGACGGCAACCACCACCACCCCGTCTTCGTTACGACCAGAAAGCCCACGCCGCGTTTCACCCACTCATGGCCTTTCAGTTGCTGGCAATTATGATGAATTCCATGGTCGTCCAGCTCATGAATGCAGCCGAAGAAGGGGGAGAAGTCACCCGCTACGCCAGCGAAAAGGCTCTCGAAGGCTACTGCGCGTTCCACCATATTCTTTTGTTTTTTGCCAAGAGATATCCCGTGCTCGAGCAACACGCAGAGAAGCAAGTCTCTCGCTTCCTCTCGGCCTACTACTTTCGGCACAAGCTCCAAGAACCAAATTTGGGATTGCTTCTGATATGTCTCACTTTGAGCAAAACTGGATGGAATTCCCTCCGAAAACCACTCGTCATGGAGGCATTTGATCGCAATGTACGTTGGCTTTTGCGAAGCTACCCATTGCTAGCGGAGGACTCCATATCTGCGGAAGATCGGTTACAATGGACTTTCCAGGGTGCCAAGACGTCCCTTCGCCTGTTGATGTTCCAAGCCTACTTTATGTCGCGTATTGGCAGGCCCTCAAATAAGCGTGGTCCCATGGAAGTGTTGGATCAATACGAACGGCAAATGGGAAAGCCAACCCCCAAGCAAAAGAAAGACCTTCAACGCAACGCCAAAGAGATTCTTGCGGTTACGACGTGGTCTCGATTCTTTCAGCGCTTGGGTGGGCCGATACCATCGGATGCTCGGCTTGCAGATATTCTGAAGCAGGCCGTTGCCAATAGCTTGCGAAAGAGATACCACGACCCAAACGAAGAAGCCAACAGAGTACTGAAGGAGAGGATTCGGGAGGAAAGGTGGCAAGCTGGAGCGGATGAGCGCGAGCAACGAGAGGCAGAGAGACTGCAAGAATTCTGGGAAACGAGGGAACGGACGCAGCGGGAGAGGAGAGAGGCGGAGAGGGAACACATGGCTCAGGAAGAGTTGGAGCGAGGCCAGGGGACTTTGCAAGGATTCGCGGGTCGGCCACGGAGAACTAGTTAGCTAAAGGCTAATTGATGCTAGCTTGCCTATGGCTGGCGGAGCGGCGAATGCTTGCCTTGTTCGTTTCGTTCGTGCTTCTTGGTCAAATAGGGGCTACCCAGCGGGATCCTCGCCAATCCAAGGCGCCATGGGCTCGTCCCTCTGCGAAGCTGGAAACACATGAAGTTCTGCCGCCAAATCCAAGAGTCGTGAATGGTAATTGGATTTTTGGATAAAAGTAAAAAAGGCTTGGTTCCCAGCGTATTAATAGTTTCTTTGTGCAACATTGGTAAAAATGAATAAACTAAACAAACCGAAAGACTCAGAACAGAAAAATGAGGCATGTCTCCAAAAGCCGTTGCTCATCATCCGATGTACCGGTAGCTAGCAAGTGAGCCTGTCAATTTTTTTTGGCCCGTGACTTGAAGCGGGATTTTCATTGTCACAAACACAAAATCTCTTCGAATGTCCAAGTCTCAATTGTCTCAGATGTTGTTGGTTTGCAGCGTATAATGAATCCAGAGGGCTTCGAGGTTGGCATGTTAGGCCACCAGACAAGAACAGAACGATGGCGAGAGCAAGCGAAGCCTCGGGATCAAGATGACAGCAGCAACTTCCGAGAGCACTACACGATAAGACGCACTGCCCCTCCTGCCACCGGTGGTAGCCGATATTCCTGGAAAAGCAACAAAAAGAGCAACCGAAGAGTCGATTCCAACACCCTTTTTGCCGATGAATACAGTGTCGAATCGAATGGGAATGACTCTGCAACCACCACAGAATCGGTGCAACAGCAGCGGAAACGAAAGTGCGCCATGAGGGTCATGGCCTTGTACATGGCCGTTGCGACCATCACATTTGTGTCTGTCCTGCTTTGGAGAATGGGTCTGGCTTTCAACGAAATCGATGACGATTACAGTTCACTTCAAGATCACTACTCCAACCAGACAGACTTTGACGAGGACGGTCGCATGATATGCAATGGATTGGCATCAAATTGTCACAGAAGAGCCAATGAGCTCATGTACGCCACCGTACACAATGCCATGAGCAGTCGAGAAGATGGCTTTCTCGCATACAACAATCTGTTCCCCTTGGAGGATGCTCTCATGGCTGGGTTCAGGGGGATAATGGTGGACTCCTGTGACTGCAAACGGGTGGGAATTCAGCTCTGCCATGGTAAGCAGCAGCAGTTCCGTTGCACCTTTGGTGCACATCTATCTCTTGTCTCTGTCTCACAGGAAACCCACCTTGTTTCTGATATCTCGTTTGATAAAAGGACTTTGCGTTGCTGGCTTCAGAAGACCCAAGAATACCTTTCAATCTATTGTGGATTTTATGGTTGAAAATGAGTTTGAGGTGGTCATTATAGAGATTGAAGTCAGAGGGGAGAGTTTAGGGCCTCTTTTTGAAATTATTGCTGAAGTACCTGGATTCAAAGAGTTGATTTACCAGCATCCTGATGGTGACATGCCGTGGCCAACACTGAAAGAACTGATTGAAACGGGAAAGGTAGGCAGAAGTCATCGCTGTCGATGGCACTTGCCACGACATCTTCTCACACTTCCTTGCATGAAATTTACAGAGACTGATCGTGTTTTCGCATAATGACAAGGGTTGTGACGACCGTGGGAATTGTCCAGTTGGTGTCATGAGCACATACAAATACGCATTTGAGACACCTTTCGCTCAAAGGGGGGTGTCAGAGCTCATGGATCTAGAAGGTACATGCATTGTGAGCCGAGGCTGGTCCGATTCTGATTTCATCATTTCAAATCACTTTGCCAACAACGATCAAGGCATTCCTGAGCTTGGGATTGCAATCACTGTCAACTCTGCCGAGAACCTTCTAATCCGATTGGAATACTGTCAACACAAGTTTGAAACCGATTATGGAAACCCAATCATCAATCTGCTCGTCGTGGACTTTTGGAACGTGGGAGATACTCTGGCGGTGGTACACAAATACAACAGCGAACTTCCTGTCATAACAGATGCCCCCTCCTCGCGTCCTAGTTACACACCTACCGAGTCACCAAAGCCATCTGCGATGCCTACGCGAGACACCAGCGTAGCGATTGAAGATGTGCTGTTGACGCCTTTACCCACTGTTTCGCCAACCACAGAGATTCCTACCTCAACTCCTAGCAAGTCACCATCGACAAACCTCCCGTCTATGACACCCACCCCACAGTCGACCGAGATGCAAGGTTCTCAAAGTCCAACGCTTTCACTGGAATCATGGTTTGAATCTTTCATGAACACAGCTCCCACCGCTACGTCAAACAATGATATTGGGTTTGAGGACGAAAAGGAGATACAAGATGGCCTCGTTTCTTCAGCTTTCGAGAACCATAACATGTCTGGGTCGATGTTGATATCAGAGTTGACTCAGGCTCCATCTGACAACGAAGAAGACGATGGTCACTCTATTCCTCTTCTAGAAAAAGAACCAAGGCCCAGCACATAGCGACAATCCGCTGGAATGCTCGGCTCGTGGCTTACATCAAGACCATCGTAGTAGAAGTAGTCTAAGTTATGCTTTCACACCACAGTATAGGTGGCAGTGACATGCTAGATTGTTGTAGATTTGCTAAGAACTCGGAACTCCGGTACAACTCCGAGTAGCTGCCTTCATAGAGGCTTCGAACTTTTGGGGTATCCCATTCTGCACTGTGCGACATGCCGCAACGTCCATGTGGATCCCGACTTGGAACAGAGAACCATCGAAGCGTACTGAAGAGTAGGATTCGATTCGATGGTGCATATCTTCCGCAACACACACTTCAGTACGGCGACGCCGTTGGTGGATACTGCTCCGGAGATTCATCGACAGCGTCTTCTCCGTCTTCGTTCGCCGGGGCTTGCTTGCACCCTCCAAATGCACACGTTGTTGTGCCATTCGACGCATCGATGGCTTCAGCCATCATATGTAGAAACAATCCCACCGCCACAAAGATGTGAAAGAGTCCGTTTTCGTTGAAAACAAGCCGGTCAGGGAAGACCACATTTCGGTAGCATTGACAAAATACCCCAGAAAAGACACCCAGAACCACAAAACCAATTGTAATGGTGGCATTCCCGAGTGCTCGAAGGATCTCACGGCGAACCATGTACACAACAGAAATGACAGCAAAGCTTCCCAGACACCAAAGCGCCGCAAACACTGTTTTCTCGAAAGCAACCACGCAAAATGCAACGGCAACATTGGGCACAGCAAGGCACATTCGGAGACGGGTGTTCTCTGTCAGGGTGAATTCTAAACAGGGCAATGCCAAAACTGTAAAGCCAACGCTGAAAAGAAATATGGTCTTGCCTGCGGGGTCCGATGGATTGGTGAAGAACTGGTGGTAGATTCCTGATGTTACGGTTGATGTGAGCGGCATGATGCCATTGTTGATGGGGTGAAACGCAAAACGATGCTTCACTCACCTGCATACGAGTAGCCTTCGGGAAAGGGAGACGCAGGAAAAGCGATATGTCAGCGGTGCTGTCATGATGGTGGGCGTGGTACGCAATTTCTTGGGCTTACCGACGCTTTGCAGAAGGAAGTACGCCATCAAATAAGGATCTTGTTTGAAAAAGCACTGCATCAACAGAGCGCAACCACTGATCCCACCAACGAAGTAATTCGTCAGAAAAGTTGAAAACGCGCTGGGAGAAACAGGACAAAGTACGACGTGAGCAGCATTCGGCCATCACGATGTCACAAGGAAATTTCTTCACTCACTTGTCCACGGTGTTCGCAGGGTCGATGGACATGGTGGTAGCGTTGCGGATTGCAGAAAAACAATATCGACGATGAGGAAGATGGCTTGAAGATGGCAAACAACAACAGGACGTATTGGACAACTCTCAGCACGAAGAGTCGAGGACGCTGTTGGAGAAAATAAAATGCACCAATGACACCGAGAGTGAGCAAAACAATTTAAATTGGAGCGTTAACGTTGCTGTGTCAGCTAGTCGAGAAACTAAATTTAACTCAAAATGAATGCTTTATCTGAATCGAATCGAATCGAATCGAATCGAATTACTACGGTACCAGTACGCTACCTAGTTGCCCTCAACTACCAGCTAGCAAGCTGAGGGCCTTTTGAACTTTATTGCCCTCAACTACCAGCTAGCAAGCTGAGGGCCTTTTGAACTTTATCTTGTGTGTGTGTGTGTGTGTGTGTGTGTGTGTCGCGTACATATGGTGCGGTTTCCCTAGTAAGATTAAGGCTATCAAAGCGAACACGTACATAGGGTGCGGTTTCCCTAGTAAGATTAAGGCTATCAAAGCGTACAGGTACATATGGTGCGGTTTCCCTAGTAAGATTAAAGCTATCAAAGCGACTGATTAGCCTTGGCTTTAAGAAACATACCAAAAAATGAAACCTTTGCCTTTAGATAAATGCTAGTTGAGGGCACTAGCCTACGGCTGTCTGTTCTATTCGAATGATCAATCAATCGAGTGTCTGTCGAATCGAATCAATAATAGCTACAATGTTACCGGTACAGTGCACAGAAGTCGTGCGCAGACAAGCTCTCAGGGGGTTTTAGAATAAGTGGATTATCTATGGAAGCCAGTTGGGGCCAGGCTTAAAAGAAGAGTCGAAATTCAAGACTAGCTAGCTGGGTTCCCTGGGCCGTGGGATTGGGGGCGATAAATTGAGGACCAGTACGGGGCCAAAGGGCTTGGTTGATTTTACAGTGACCAGTTGCTAGCTAGCTGTAGCGGTTGTTCTTGGTTGCGCAGATCTGCTGAATGCATGCACGGGCTGGACCCGTACTGTACCGGTACATTTAGCTTTCATTACACATTCCGTTGAGGCTTTAGTATTTTATTGTATTTTATAGTATTGCGCTGTGGTGGAAAGAACTTTCTCATTACTTCTCGATTCTCGAGATAACTCGTGATGACCCTTGGCCACCTCCTCCCGTAACAAAAAAAAATGCAAGTTGCATGGAACACAGGAGAATCTCTCCTTTCTCAAACGATATTTCGATCGGACACTGTACATGTAAAGCAATCTGACAATCTAAGAGTACTACTACATGTACTGCAATTGCGGCATCTTATAGCTCTTAGCTATGGCTAGCGGTACATGTACTCCTGGTGTGGACGTGGGACACACTGCAACGAAGATCAGGGATTCTGAAGTTCAACATATTCTTTGAAAAAGAAGCTGGATCAACGCGGACTTCTTTCTTTAGTTGTCCTCTTTGACCATCATCCTGACAAAGTCAAGAGTTTCAGGGAACTGGCACCAACACACTCCATTGTTTCCCATTCTGGAGACAACCTTTACAGAGCACTTCCTCATATTTTGTTGGAAGCAAGCATTGAAGAAAGCTTTCGCAGCAATTTCAAAAGTCAAAAGCAAGTCTTAGGGAATAAGTGTGACCATGACTGTGCCTTCGCCCCCTTCGATTCGGCTATGCTTCTTTTCCATGTAGGACCGGTACCATCAAATTGGTAGAGGGGTAGCATTGTAGCATTGCATCCCACTACCCAGCTAGCAGTCTATCCCAGAGTATCAAAATTGAGAGTTTCGCTGGCTCTGGGTTGACATTTGATTCACCAACCAGGGTGGTGGGAGAAACAATACTAAGCAAGGGAGGTGGGTTGGTTGAGCTTTTGAGCTTTAGTTTGTGGAGGGAGAGAGGCTTCTCTCAGAGGGTTTCCTGTTGCAAAAGCTGTTGCCTACCATGGCTAGTAGCTACACGTACGGTCTTTGGAGGCTTGATTTGAATTCTTCTAGTTTTGCACAAAGCAAGGGCATTGCGCCCGGGTGAAAAGTTGCCTGCTCTTTTGATCTACCGTACAGTAGGATCCAGATCGCCAGAGTCCAGAGTCTCTTGGCGTCGCAGGCACCAGGGCCGGCAACGACAATTGGGAAGTTGTTTGTTTGCAGGACTGAGCCATGGCAAGGCCTATGTTGGCCAAAAATTGAAATAATAACACAACCTCTTCCAAACAACGTGCTAATGCTGAGAGGACTTTAGCTCTTGGAACTTGGTTATCCATTCAGAAACATCATGTTGTATCGTGGAGATGAGGTGAGCAACTATTTACGCAGACACACATCAGGTTCTGCGCAGCTGTGCAGCCATATGACGCATTTTTCTAAATCTTAATGTATCTCCATTCCCTTAGTTCATTTATTCTGCTTTGGCCTGTTGCGCCACTGTTGGATATATCGTGTTCTTGCCAATAGGCTTTTGAGCATTTTTACTGAGTACTGCACTTGGGCAACCACCAAGCCGACTTCCCAAAGCGACGAGGCCAGAGTCATTGTGAGAAAAAACCTTCCGCCGTAGATTGAAGACAGAGGACATCAGAGAACGCACTGCAGCCCGCAGCCATGGACTAAGCTCGGTCTCACAACACAGAAGTTTCAGCAAGGGCTTGTTCGACCCGAATATTTTATTAAAAATAGTCATCTCTTGCCTCTGTTGATACGTCGTCTTGGGGATTGTTATTCATGGCCATGCCAACGAAAAGCACCGCGATGGCACCTGAAGATGAAGAACTTAGCCTCTCCTCTGAAGACGATTCCTCTAGCTCTGAAGAGAGCGAAGTCAGCACCGCGGATTCCTTAAAAGACCCCACGGAAGACCGCTGCGATGCCTGTTGGCGGCAGTCGGCCTTTGTTGGGATCGCAGTGCTTGGCGCTTTTGTGATTTTCTCAATCTTTATCTTGATGCTTCGACAGGATAATATCCATTTTGAATCCACAGTAAGTGCTCGACCTCTCGGGGCGCCATGGTTTGGATAGTTGGGTAGCTGCCGCCGATGCGAACTAGACTTCTCACTTTATGACCTTCCGTGCCCTTCCCCGACCTTACCGTACGCTACAGTTCAAAGGGTATGCGAATGCGCTCAGGGATGCGGCAACACTTCAGGATAAGAGTACTCAAGAGTCGATGGAATTCCTGAGTGAGTCCATCACCATGCAAGCGGTCAATGAAGGCTCCAAGTGGCCCTACGTTACCGCTCCCTTCTTCCAAGTCCAGGCCGAGCATACCCGCGTCGTATCCGGAGCTGATTCCGTTATCATGTCTCCCATTGTCTCTGAATCGCAACGACCGACTTGGGAGCAGTACTCGGTGCTGGTGGCGGACGAAGTCTTGGCCGAGAATAGCAACAATTTGAACTCCTCCATCTCCGATTCCATCTTTACTCTCGAAATTGACGAAGAAACCGGAGATCTCGTCCCCGCAGCCGTCAACGGGACTGCACCTTACAATCCTGTCTGGCAAACTTCTCCTCTTCCAAACAACGCTTCCGCCATCAACTTTGACATGCTCTCCAACGACAAGCTTCTAGAGCTATTTAACGCCATGCACCACACCCGCACTCCCGTGGTGTCTCCCATTATGAGTCTCAATCCCATGGTCGAAGACTCGACCTACGAACATGCGGAGAGTGCCGTATTCTCTCCCATCTTGGAAGACCTTAGCCAGTCCAACACTACCAAGGTTGTCGCCAATCTAGTCTTGATCATGTCCTGGGAAACCTACCTACTATTCCTCCGGGAAAATCACATGAACGGTGCAGATTATGTTCTGACAAACACGTGCGGCCAGATCTTTAGCTTGGAAGTCAACGAAAATGGAGAACTGGGAACCTTCGAGGTGGGCGATCGCCACGAGGAATTCTATGAGGACATGGTCGAGGTAGTGCCGGTCATGACGTTCCTACATACACACTTCAATACATCCACTGGACTGCAGGCTTGTGGCTACAACCTCCGTGTCTACCCATCACAAGTTATGCGTGACGATTTCAAGTCGGGAACTGCTCCCATTGCGGCCGGGATTGCAGGTGGCTCTTTCGTAGTGGTCTTGGCCATCTTGTACTTTATGGACCGACGCATGCATGAAAAGCACCGACAAATCATCAAGTCGGTGGAAAAATCGAATGCTATTATTGCCAGCTTGTTCCCTTCCAACGTTCGTGATCGATTATTTGGAGGTGGCGGTGGTGACGACGCAGCTTCGAAGAATAGTCATGGATCTCGAAGCAAGAGGTCTTTTGGGTTCCGCCTGCGAACATATCTGACGGAAGGAGAAGATGCCGACGGTGGTGGCGGGGATTCCAACCCCATTGCCGATCTTTTCCCCGAATGCACAGTCCTTTTCGCTGACATTGTGGGTTTCACTGGTGAGTTTTTTAAAGAATCGAAGGAAGGGCAGAGTTGATCTCCGCTGCAAAGCTCTAACATGCACATCTCTCTCTCTCTCTGCTCTAGCCTGGTCGTCGATGCGAGAACCTGCTCAAGTCTTTACTTTGCTGGAGACACTCTACAGTGCCTTCGATGAATTGGCAAAGGAATTGGGAGTCTTCAAAGTTGAAACAGTAAGTTCGCAGGCAAGCTTTTCTCTCTCCACGTTCGCCATGTCACTCATATCGATCTCTTTTGCGTCTTTCCTGGCTAAAGATTGGAGATTGCTGTAAGCTGGTTTCTTGTGTCCTGTGATTGACTGCTGTCAAAATACCTTTCTCTGACTACCTCCCGTTTTGTTTTCGCTCTCTCAGATGTTGCCGTCACTGGACTGCCGGACCCGAGAGAAGACCACGCTGTCGTCATGGCTATTTTTGCTCGGGAATGTTTGAAGAAGATGCAGGTTTTGACAAAGGATCTGGAGGTCAAACTGGGACCAGACACAGGTAGGTGAAGCGAAGGTGAAGAGTAATGATTGCTCATCAGACGAGAATTCTCATTCAATTTGTTGGCAAAAACCCAAAGGAGATCTTTCTATGCGTTTCGGGCTTCACTCGGTACGTGCTGTCATCGAAGTGCAATGTCTATTGTGCTTTTTGCCCAAACTAACCAGCGCTCCCGTGGTCGGATCTCAACAGGGACCTGTTACAGCTGGCGTGCTGAGAGGAGAGCGTTCTCGTTTCCAACTTTTCGGGGACACCGGTGCGTGAATTGATCGGCTAGATAGACCAGCAAGCAGGCGGGAAGCAAGGCTCACAGTTGTTGTTGCATTTTCTTTCTAGTCAACACTGCTGCTCGCATTGAAAGCACAGGTCACAGAGGGAAAATTCATCTTTCCCAGGAATCGGCTGAGTTGATCATGGCGGCCCAAAAGGCACATTGGGTGCAACCAAGGGAAGACAAAGTGACAGCCAAAGGAAAGGGCGAACTGACAACGTACTGGTTAGGGGGAGGTGGTCCTTCGTCGTATTCTTCTACTACGTCTTCTCGCATGACAGGACCTGGGCATCCTGCCGGCTTCAATGGTGACAGCGCAAGAGCGCCCCTTCCAAAGATCCTGCGAAAGAAGAAGCCAGAAAAGCCTGAGGTCAGCGAGCACGCTTCGAAGACCGCTAGACTGGTCGATTGGAATGTTGACATACTGCAACGTCTTCTCAAACAGATAGAAGCGAGGCGCGCAACCGACGTTCAGAAAGCCATCGAACGAGCCAAGACAGCGGAGGATCCAGCCAAGAAACAGCTCAACTTTGGACTGATTGGAGATGGCTCTCACAGTGGCTACGCCAGAAAGATCCTGCGAAATGCAAATGAAACGTATCAGGAACCGGACGAACCGATGCATTCCGCTGATCCCACCCGAATATACACCGATGAGGTCAAAGAAGTCATCACGTTGCCCAAATTCGACAGCAGAGCAGCCGGAAAGGTTGAGAACGCAGAATCAATTGTCTTGGGCTACGAAGTTGTCGAACAGTTGCACGACTTTGTTCGAACAATATCGACCCTATATCGTGAGAATAGCTTCCACAACTTTGGTGAGTCTGACCACCCTGCTTTCCCCATGTTTTGGCCTGTTTTGTGCTCACACCTTTTGGGTTTGGTTTTGATCTCAGAACATGCATCCCATGTCACAATGAGCGGTAAGTCAGAATTGTCACATGACTGGAAGAGAATGAATTTGAGTCCCGTTCTCACATCTTAGGTTCATATGCATACACGTAGTGGTGAAGCTACTGTCTCGCATCGTTGCTCCGGACCTTGAGTACCCCGAGGAAAGCGTCATCTCAAGCGAGAAGAAACGCAACCGTATGCTAGCACTGAAGCTTCACGAGTAAGTCGAGGATTGTTGGATCTGTCTCAGTGTCTAGAAGATGTCGCACTAATGCTATGCTCCCTGCCCATATTTGCACTTTATCCTTTGCCACTTCCAGCCACACTTACGGTACGTCGGAGAGAGAGCAAACTCTCTGTTGTTCTCGATCAAAGTCGCTCAAACGGTGTCGCTGCCCTGTTTTGTAAATTGCAGGTATCACTTCCGACCCGTTGACCCAGTTCGCCGTTGTGTTTTCGGCCCTTATACATGACGTGGTAAGTTTTTGTTTGTTCATTCCTTAGATGAAATAGTCTGCGGGATGACAGCTTACAACCCGTTATCCATGATATCCAGGACCACACTGGGGTGCCCAACAATCAGCTCATCATAGAGGATCCAGACCTTGGCAAACGCTTTCGCAATGAGAGTGTTGCCGAGCAGCATTCTGTAGCTTGTTCCTGGGATCTTCTCATGCAACCAAAATACAATCAGCTGAGGAGAGCAATCTACCGGTCCGACGCAGAGAGGGAAAGATTCCTCCAACTCGTTATCAACTGTGTCATGGCTACGGATATCGTGAATCCACAGCTAAAGGAGCTTCGTAATGCGCGATGGGACAAGGCATTCAAGGTTGGCGCTTCGGCGGATGATCACGATATCAATCGTAAAGCAACAATTGTGGTAGGTTCCTCGTGGCGGACTTGGCTCCCTTCGTCTTCGATTCTTGCTGATCCATATGGTTGTTCGCCTCCTCCACAGATGGAGCATTTGATCCAGGCCTCAGACGTTTCGCACACGGTAAGTCATCTCTGCGAGAGAGCTTGGGCTACACTGCAACGAATACTGCTGGGACTCATTTGACTGCTTCTTGGCTATCATCCCTTTCAGATGCAACACTGGCATATCTACAGGAAATGGAACGAGCGTCTTTTCCGCGAGATGTACTCAGCGTATCGTGAGGGTCGCTCAGAGAAAAACCCTGCAGATTTCTGGGCCAAGGGTGAAGGTACGTGAGGCGCCATAGATGCTTCGATTGATCGCACAAAAAGATTTAGTGCTTCTTTCTTACGGATCTCTCTTCTTTCTTTTCAAAGTCGGATTCTTTGACTTCTACATTATTCCACTAGCCAAGAAGTTGAAGGAGTGCGGTGTCTTTGGTGTCTCGAGTGATGAGTACTTGCAGTATGCCGTCAAAAACAGGTAGGTATCGAGGTCGGGCGTTGTCAAGACTCGTGTAGATGTTGGGTTTTGGACTCACGTCGCGTGCCATGTTCTCTTCTCAACTCTAGGAACGAATGGGAGATGAAGGGCGCAGAAGTTGTAGAAACGATGGTGGAGAGCATAGAGTTAGAATACGACGACCAATGAGACACTTGAGTTTGAAAGCGCACGGGGAGTTTTTCAGTCAGGAATGTTACGATTTTGATATATATTAGATGGTTACTCTACTATTGCTATCTTGTGGTGTCTTTGTCGAGGCTGCAAAGGGGTAGAAATTGGAGGCATGGACTGCACTGCCTAAATAGCTATTGTACGGGTGGGAAATGCTAACTTTTGACAGGGAACTCAAAAAAAGCATCAGTGTTACTATAGTTTGGATCTGAATCTTGGCAAGTCAACAGTTTGAGGCGCTACTGAGGAATGTTTTGCCGTGTCAGCCTCAGACCGCGGTGTCTCTGATGCTATTCGGTAGTCAAAGGTTCCAGTCTTCAGAATGGCTTCAAAGAAATCGGCAGTGGCGCGATCTGCCCAGCTAGTTCCAACTCCAAATGCATTCGAATCCGGAGGGCTCTCCTGCCAGCCTAGATGACCACCACACTTGGTTTCAACGCACATGACGTACGGATTCTGAATGCAGTGAGTCATCGTCTTTTGGAAGGACTTGTATACAATCATGTCATCGCCGGCCACTAGCTGCAGGCAGGGTACAGAGATGTGCTTGATATATTTGAAGGAAGAGCTGTCGGCCCAATAGTGTTCGGCATCTCTAAATCCTATTCTCACGGCGAATGGATAGTAAGCTTCGTTCCGAATGAAGATTGGAGCTAGGGCTTCATCGACATCTCCAATGGTGCGGGCCTTCAGGGTGTTGTAGATGGCCTCGCGGAACGATGGCACCGTCATATGCCGCAGTACGGGCCAATTGAGAATCAAATCTTTCTGGATAGAGTCGAGTCATTCATTCATTTGGATGGTACGAATCGAATCCACGAGGAAGGCATAATGTGAATCTCACATAAGTCGACGTTTGCACCCAAACGAACCACTGAGACATAGTAAACTCCTTACCTTGACACCCAATGCCAATACTTCCTTCCAGGGAGTGTGAAGATTATTGACGTGCATCAGTAGAGGATTTCCCAGAGCTGCACCTCCTGCTACACAGGCGGGTAGCGTTCCACTCTGGCCTTCTTCTCCAAGGTACTTTGTGACAATGTTGGCACTCAAGCTATTTCCTACGAGGAACAGTGGTACACTGGGTGCCAACCGCGAAGCCAAGTACTGTACGACGCCTCGAAGATCCCCCGTGTAACCACCGTTGTAGCAGCGAGGAGTTGCCAACTTGATTCCTCCAACGCCTCGAAAGTTCATTGCCACGGCAATCCATCCTCGGTCGGTGAATGTTCGTTGCAACGATTTGACGTACCCGAAACTTGTATCGTTGTTCATTCCTGTCAATATGAGAATGACTGGTTGTTGGATAGCTCCTTTGGTTTTTACGTGTTCTATTCGTTCTTGATCTGTAATGTGGTTGTTCTGTTTGTCTGTTGGTATTAGTGGTGGAAGTTCCCAATCGAGCAAAATGTTGGCTCCATCGGCACTCATTGTGAGTACTTGCTTAAAGGCAAGATGTCGATCGGTCGATGGAGGACCCCAGAGAGCGTAACCAGCCGCGCTGGCCATGGTTCCTCGTGTTCCCACAAACAGAGAAGGCTTAATCGGCCGCGACAGAATGGCATTGGGCGTTGCCGTGAGTCTATCAAAAATGGGTTGCAGAGGTGTTTGTTGGTTGCTGTTGTGGTCCGTGTTTGTTTTGTCAGTGGCAGTACACTGTCCGAATACCCATGGAGGACAGGATAGCGACTGTTGGAGATGCAATTCATATCCTAGGACTGCCGATGCCAAAGCTGAAACCAAGACGGTCCATCCAGCGGGTGTTTCTGGTAGTGCTTCTACGATGGATGACTGCTGTCTCACCAATTCTCTGGACAGATGCTGTGACATGCGTCGAAAGGAAGACGTTCGATGGGCCACTTTTTGGTTGCTGTCGCAGTGTTCCTCGTTCGAATTATTATTGATGTAGTCTTGAACCATTTGGAGAATCACCTTGCTGGGCCTCTTGTGGTTACTGTTGTTGTCGTTGACGCGTTTGTTTGCAGTTGTCATGTCTTCGTATCCCAACTTATTGGCAAAGACCTCAGCGTCGTCGCCGTTGTGCTCACTGCCTTTCATCTCTTGCATAGTTACAAAACTCTCATCGTCTTCATCATCATCTGGTTCTTCGCCATCTTGCGGATCGATTGCCTTGTCGTCATCATGATCACCATCGTCGCATTCATCCTCTACCGGTACGCCTGGATCAAAATCACGCGATTTTCTACATCCATTGGCTTTGACTGGCGTCGTCGCGCCTGGAAGGACCTCCTCTGCACCCATTGCATCCATTCTTATCTACTATGTTTCTTCCAAGAAAGCTCTTCTTCTAGATGTGAGAGTTTGGCAACTACTGGAGTGGCTAGCTAGGATCGAGAGGGCGTCCCTGGATCTCTTGATCTCTTTTGACGATGATGATGAAAGACTTGTCACGGTCGGGTGTCATTCATCTTTCTCATTGCTAAATCCTGCAGAGCTGATGTCGATGATGAAGATACCATGACTGAAACCTAATTCGTGACTGCCAAAACAACCAAAACGAAAACCATGGCGGACTGTCACTGCCATGCACGTGATGCCCACATCCCCTCGATCATCGTCTGAACCAAGCTGCAAGCAACCTATTGATATCGTCATTACTTCAGTTAGCTGGATGCCATAGTTACTGTACTTTAGGGAGGTGTATGTCTTATTGGAAGCGTTCTGGGAAAATTTCTGGATACCACAATCCACATCCATATATACCCACGTTTCACCATCACTTCATTAAAACTACTAGCATAGATATCCACTGCCACCATGCAACTACTATACAGCAATCCACTTCCCAGTCCGGAGTTTGTATCTCTATCTCTGGTGCTTCGACCGGATCCAGAAGAACCCAGCGGTGGAGGAATGGGGGAACCATTAATGCTGGCGTCTCCCTTGTCCACCATCAACTACGTTGTCGCCATGAGCGCCTTGAAAGAACTCCACAAGTACTTGGGCTCCTTGGCTGGATTGACACTTCTGGAAGGAAAGCAAATATCCATTCATGATCGAATCGTCGCAGAATTAATGCAAGATGACGAAAACCTTGTCATGAACGATACCAACAGCAACAGCAATCAAAACAAATTGCAAGTATTCCGACCACTCTCGGCACACGGCATGGGTCTACATTATCGACTCTTGCGCGATGACAAGGTCAAAACTGACTTTGCGTCACTGGTTCTGGCATCTTCAAGATCATCCGCCAAGGGGGCTGACGATTCTTCCGAGACACGCAAAATCGAAAAACAACTCCTGGGCGTCTTGGTTACCGTGGGGTTGTCGGGTATACCCTATGCACACTGTTCCTCCTCGCTACAATACGGTCTCAGTCAAAGAGTCAATGATTGCGTCGGTGTCCTATCCAAACGAATCAGTGCTGTCGATGTAGCCGCGGCCAAGACCATCCTATCCACACTCCTTGCCACGGAAGATGAAGTCCGAAAAACAAACAATGTCGCCAATGCCGCCATTGTCACTGCCATTCCAGAGTCGGGAGAAGAAACATTCTTGGGAAGTGCCGCCAAGAAGGGAAACGCATTCAAAAACGTATTCAGTATGAGCCGGGGAGGATCTGGTGGAGGCACTATTCATGTGGGTGTACGCCCAACTTCCAATGATCTTTCCAGAATCCTCATTGAACGGCTCACGGTACTCTCGGTCGCGGATTCCGATAGCTTGTTGCGACCATTTGAAACTTCGGGACAACAACGAAAGGCAAACTTGGATCTTACTGGAAACAAATCAAGATTTCGAAAGCGCAAGACTGATTCCAGTACCAATGCCGACTTGGATAACTTTGATTATCGAGGACCTGTACGGGACAAACGACTTGACAATCGACTCCTACTGCGACAGCAAAACTTGGCAGCGGCAGGTCCCATGCAACCAGCAGCATTTACGCCACAATCATCATCGTCCCCCTCTGTACCACGAAACCCACAGTCCACCACCGCCAAACAAATGCGACCCCATCACTCCGATGTCCGTGGAACACGGCGAAACCGAAACGTACCCACACTTAGTGCTCCCAGAGGAGATGTTTCTTCGAGTCGGAGATCGTCCAATGCGACTTTGAGATCGGTAAGATTGATGAAGTTTCGTGAAGCCACCGCAGTGCGCTTTCCGAACAGATGGACAGATGGGTCTGATCGGATATCTTTTTCGTTGTTGATGTTCCATTGGCTTGTTTATGTTCGCGAATGTCGATTTTTGATCGTTCATTTCATTCATTCGTATGTATTCTACTACTTATACAGGACGATGCGGACGACGATGGACGAAGCCGACGTTCCGGCAAGAGCCACGGAAGTACAAGGAAAGGTACAGCGGATTCTCTGAACAGCAATAGCAATTGGGTCGGAGCAGAAGAGGACATATCCGAATCGAGGTCCATGAACAGCAACTCCAACCTGCCACGAATACAAGTAAACATTGCGCTCAATGAAGACTTGACGTGCTCCTACAAATTCTCCAAAATGACTTCCTGCAGTGTGGAAGGTGTTATCCAGGTTTGTGCTTGGACTCAAGGTGCATTGTTTTGTCCCATGGTTCCTTATGTTGCCCTAACGCTTTCTTTTCTTTCACTCACAATCGCTTCCGCCGCTAGGTCCAAGTGAAGTCCAATGCAAGATCATTGGTGCCCTTTCAACTGGTAGTGAGAGACCCCTCCGGTCATATACAAACTCTGCAAGAGAACAAAAAGTTTGCAGAGGACTCGTCACCCTCAGATCGAGGAGATAAGAGCTTCACCATTGGAGTCCCAAAGGCAGACAACTACTTTCCGCTGATACGATACAAATGCTCCAATGAGCTGCGACCTGTTCCCATTGTGAGTGTTTCTTGGCTTGCACATTCTTGATCTTTCGTTCGAAGGTTTGGTCTAATTGAATCGCATTCACCTTTTGCTGTTTTCCTTTTCCTTGCCTGCAGAGGGTGCAAACTCGGGTTAAAGTAGATGGAGGGTACTGCCGTGTAGCGTTGCAGATCAGCTCAAACCCTCACAACGAAGGCAGTCTGACGGACCTGACCATTATCATGGGCGTTGCAAACGATATTCGAGGAGGATCTCTAGTGACGCAACCTGCGGGTGGTGTCTGGAACGCCAGCAAGCGAAGTGTCATTTGGTGTGTTTCTGAATTGGGCGACGGAGAAAAGTTCCAGTTGCAAGCTAGATTTGAGGTGGACGAGAGTGCAGCAGCCAAGGATGAGCAGGAGGTCCCCAAATTCCCTGTCTTGGTTCGATGCCAATGCATGTACGCACAGCTGAGCGACGTCGAGGTGGCCGTGCAAGACATTCCTGAGCTACAGCCGGCTGAAGTGGCGATGAAGGTTGCCCGACGTTTCCGATTGTCACACCAAGAACGGTCGTGATAACTATTGCAGAAGAGTCTCTTTCTATCTTTGTTTTTAAAGGGGTCTAGAGCAGGGAATTTATCTATCTTTCATTATATTAGTATGGCGTTACGTTTTGCCACTGTTTGGTACCCGTAGCCCATTTCGAATTACCGCATTGCAGGGGGGGGGGCGCGAAAGCCATCTCAAGTGAGCACGGCAGTTGTGTTAGAATTAAGTGTTGTTGCTGGGGTGACCCTGCCCCAGGCTATCGCCGACTGGACTCGACTCGGCAAGTTCAAACTGAAGAGTGCTTCGTGAAAGGCATGTCATTCCAAAGAGTGGGGGCGGTGGATCCACGATTTCCCAACGCTGGAACCAATGGTGAGTCATCACCTTTGTCAGATGCCATGAATACATCCTCCTCGCTGCTGGGTTGTGACAGTGTCGGCATTTTGGATCCGTGCTGCCAGTTTGCACCAGATCCCATACCACCACCAGCAGGGTTGGGCACACCAAAAAAGCGGATTGGGCTGGGTCCCAAGGCATCCATGTACAAACCTGGGGCAGCCGCCATCCCCATGGTTGCCGAGTACTGAGTCGGTTGGGCACCACCGACCATGGGAACTCCAATACAAGGGATCATGGGGCGACTAGCAGCGGCGGCAGAAAGTACTGCAAAAGATCCTTGGTCTCCGGCTTGGAGCTGGGTGCTGTAATATGCCGATGGAGGCGCATCTGTGCCGTTGAACGCTTCTTGCTGAAAGCTTGGCAGAATGCCTGCATCGTTTGCTCCGGGTTGTGTAGCCATGCGGGACAAGTCTTCGTAGGACATATTGTCGTAGATAGTCTCATTTTCGAGCATCGATTGCGTTTTGTTGAGCGTTTTGTCGAGCTTTTCCTGTGCTTTCTTTTCCTTTCTCATCATGGAGTACCACTTGTTCTTGATATCATTGTCCGTTCGGTTCTTCATGAGCTTTGCCATACACGACCATCTGAAGGGAGAGATTCGAAAAGAGTTAGCAAGAGGACAACGAGGAAGATTGGTTGATTTCTCGTTCTAAACTCTGCTTACTTTGTGCCGAACGATTTGTGCATTTCCCGTATCATGTGCTCTTCCTCGTGAGTCCACTTCCCCTTTTTGATTTCAGGTCGCAGATGATTCTGATAGCGATCACGACACTGCTTCCCGTTGCGACCACTCTTGAGGGTCTCGGCGATTTGTTGCCAATGGCTTTTCATGCTGGGGTCATCAAAATTATGGCCTTCGACGAGACGACGAAGTGCGAGGTCCTCCTGTGTAGTAATGCCAAAAATGATTATTCGAACGAAGGGTGCAGTGAGGAGCCAGGAGCATGGCAATCTCAAACGAATGATTCTGCAATAGTCCAGCATACCGTAGTCGTCCAAACCTGTCGCCCTTTGCGTCGTTTCTTCAAAGTAGTCTTTCCAGCAGTCGCTGGAGGAGATTTCTTCTTTCGCCGACGACCAACAGGACCATCATTCGTAGCCTTTGCAGCGGCTGGAACTCTTTGCTGTGCATCGACAACTGCCATGGCCTGTGTAGGCGTACCGATGATCGGAGAAACCAAGAGATTGGCACTTTTCAAACGGTTTGCTGAAAGAGAATTGTTGAAGGAATAGAAAGAAGCTCCCGAGACGTTGTTGGCTTCGTTGTGATTGTTCATGTTGCGACTCGTCAACAGAAAGATCGTTCGATGCGCGTCAGGACAACTCCCCTACAAAAGGCAACACAAATCACAAGAGTTGAGTTCGACAGGTCATCGACACGACAAAGAGCATCGAAAATCGGCGCTTCCACAAGCTCAAGGATACATCGTACGTCGATGTCGTCATCGATTCAGAGACGCAGACCATTCGACCACCAACGCGATCTCAAAACGACGAAGCGCCTTTCCTCCGATCGATCCTACTACAATCTCACCTCAAGACAAAGATGTGAAACCGAGCTTCGACGTGAAACGAAGACGAAACAACCTTGCGAGAAAGAAACTGAGCCGTTGATGAATAGAAGTTGTGCCCTCGTTGAGGTCTCCACGAGAAGGGTGGAGAGAAACCATCTCGAACGAAGTGGGCAAGTGGGCTGTTCAAACCTTGAAAAGTCAAGCGCCAGTCAGTCCCATTTACGAATAATAGTTTGCTCGAATAGCTCTAACTCTATGGTAGAATATATTACACTGACGTCATCAATCCCATTTGTGACTGACTGTTCGAATGAATCGAATCAATTCGCGACTCGACTCCCACATTAAACGTGGAAGCGCTCAATGGTACGCACGAAGTCGGTGAGCGAGAATTCCCCCCAACAACATGACCACGTTGAACCCCTCAATGCATCAGCAAGGACCTTTCCTTGAATCTTTGCTGAGTGGCCATCAGAGACTGATGGGTAAGAATAGTCACGCACTTTTGGGATGCTACTGATGCAATTCTGTGAAAAACAGATTGAGAAATTCATCTGAAGGCTTTTGTGGCTGTGGCTTGCTCTTAGAAAACAAAAGTATCCTCACAATATTTTGTTCTTCGTACCCTGAAACAACTATCTTTTTGAAAAGAAATAATAATGAGAGTCATTCCAGCAGCACTTTGCCTCGTTCTTTGCGGTGGCGCCGATGGGTTCGTCACCAAGGCTCCCTTTGGTTTGAAAACTTCCGCTCTTCAAATGGCGGCTACGTCTGAAAAGGAAGTTCGAGATGCCATTAATCAAATCAACGCTGGGAATTTTGAGCAAACTCTTAGCGAGATTGAGCCGTTCCTTCGAGATGAAGCTGACGCAAAATTCTACGGAAAGGCAAAACTTCGCCTTAGCGACAAGGCATGGCATGCTGGCCTTACCATCCCCGAAAATTTCGCAAAGGCGTCTTCACCAGCTCCAGCAGCTGAACCAACGCCCGTTGTGGAGGAAGAAGTGCAAGAACCTGAACCAGTTGCAGAGGTTGAAGAACCGGCACCTGTCGCTGAGGAAGCTGCACCAGAACCTGTCGCCGAGGAAGCTACACCAGAACCTGTCGCCGAGGAAGCTACACCCGAGGAAGCTACACCAGAACCTGTTGCTGAAGAAGCTGCCCCCGAGCCAGTTGCCGAAGAAGCTACCCCCGAGCCAGTTGCCGAAGAAGCTACCCCCGAGCCAGTTGCCGAAGAAGCTGCCCCCGAGCCAGTTGCCGAAGAAGCAGCACCCGCAGCCGAGCCCAAAAAAATCACCCCAGCTCTTATCAAGGAACTTCGTATGTTGACTGGTGCTGGTATGATGGATTGCAAAAAGGCACTGACTGAGACTGATGGTGATGTGGACCAAGCTATTGAAAATATGCGAAAATCTGGTGCCTTGAAGGCTGCCAAGAAGGCTACCAAGGTTGCGGCTGAGGGACAAATCATTATTAAAGCAGGTGATGGAACAGCTGCCATGGTGGAGGTCAACTGCCAAACTGACTTTGTTGCCAAGGATGAGACCTTTTTGGCATTTGCCAATGAGGTGACCCAAACGGCTGCAGATAGCAAGTCGTCTCTGGAGGAGTTGCAGCAACAGTTTGAGGAGAAGCGAGTGGCTCTTGTGGCCAAGATTGGGGAGAACATCAATATTCGTCGAGTTCAATATGTTGAGGGTGGAAAGGTTGCCACCTACTTGCACAATGGTGGCAAAATTGGTGTGGTCGTCACTGGTGATGGTGAGGAGGATGTCCTCAAGAATATGTGCATGCATGTCTGTGCTTCCAGTCCCCAGTTCTTGACTCCTGATGAAGTTCCATCAGAGGTTGTGGAGAAGGAACGTCAGGTCCAAATTGACATTGCCATGAATGAGGGCAAACCACAGGACATTGCAGAGAAGATGGTTGCTGGAAGAATGAAGAAGTACACTGGTGAGGTCTCCTTGACTGGCCAGCCATTTGTCATGGAACCCAAGAAGTCAGTTGGTGATGTGTTGAAGGAGAAGGGAGCCTCAGTGACCGGCTTTGTGCGCCTGGAGGTTGGAGAAGGTATTGAGAAAAAGGAGGAAGTCAGCTTTGCTGATGAAGTGGCTGCTATGGCAGCAGGCAACTAAGCAGCATACAACCGGCTAGCTTGTAGCCTTGACTGTAAATGTATAGGGAAGCAGATTGAACTATTACTTCTTTGTAACAGAGAACACTAGTGTGGTTTGTGGGTTGTGGTTGTGCATAGATTAATTGTCATTCATTCGTTTGGCCACAAGTGAAAGGTTGGCTCTGCGATACACACTTGAGGGGAAGACAATGGCCGGCGACTTGTGAGGGCCCACACGGACTTGACTCCACTTGCAGAGTTTTGCAGTTCGAATGTTTTTTTGTAAATTTAGTACGGTACCACGATGGGGAGAACCGAGGACCAGCTTCCACGCTTTGCGAACGCGCTCGGAAACGGCTTTTTTCAACAAGACTCGCGTCCCAAAGACGTCCCCCCATTTTGAACCGATTGCCATCAAGCTGGGATGCTCCAGAGCTGCTCCAGCTATCCGGAGCAATAGAAAGCACAAAGTCTTCCCAACTCGACCATGGGCCTCGTAGCAACATGGTTGACCGGCTGTGGTCTCTCTCATGCAATTCCGAATTTCACAGCTGCAGGCATCGTGACGCCTGCAGCATTGGCCGAGCTTGACTTGGCCCACTACGAGGCCTTGGGTATCTCTTCTCCTGAAGACAGACGGAAAATCTTCTATCTGTGAGTTTTGTGTGGGGTGCATTGCTCGCATATGACCTATCAAAAATTTCTCCTCAGGGGCTCATCTATTTCTGTTCGTTTCATTTCCTTTCAACAGAGTTCAACGCGTCAAATTAGCGGTGGAGAAGGAGCGCAAGGAGTCCGCTAATTCCCAACCCGCTTCTCTTGAAGAGCAAATGGATGCATTGATCGAGTCAACAACTTTGTCGCCTACCGCAACTGGAACTGCCAATCCAAACAAAGAGAATTTCAGTTCTCTAGGTGAAAATGTCACTGAGAAACATGAGGTTGCTAGAAAGCCTACTTCGATGTCGAAAAGGACTCAATCACCAAAGAGGGCCAGCCCAGTCAAAAAGAAGTCAACTCCATCCAAAATTCCAGCGCCATCTCCAAAGCGAGGCAGTCCTTCTTCCAAGCCTTCACCATCCAACACGCGTTCAGCCTCATCACCAACAGAAAAAACAACCCACAGTCCAGAGACAAGCGATCGCAATGATGCCTCAGAATTAGACGAAAGCAACTGGGGAGATGGAGAAGAGAGTGAATGTGCAGATGACGAAGCATCCATCCCCATACAATCAACATTTCGTCGCAGCAAAAGGTTGGCCGAAAAAGGAGCACCAGGAACCAGCAATGTCGCTAGGGCAACTGCTGCTAGCACTCAGAAAAATGGAGTTGCATCTGGCTTCAAGACGCCACAACCAAAAGCAAAGGCGACAGGTTCACTTACAAAGCCATCGTCGACTCGTAGAACCGAATCAAAGCTACAAAATCCCTCCAAGTCTATGAGAACCGGAAAACAGCTCAGCACTATCCCTGCAGATTCGATTCTTCCAATGTCGCCGCTGACAACCATGCCTCCGCCACAACTGGACGAAAAATCAGATCATGCCAAGGATGGCATCTCCGGTAGAAACGGAAAATCGAAATCTCGTCGATCCACAAGTGGCTCCGTTTCGGATACCAGTGACTCCGAAAGTAGCGTGGGTGGCAGGACTCGATCAAGGAACCGCCGTTCCAGTCTGCAAGGCAAACACTTGGGCCGTAGAACCAATGGCAACACGTCTGATTCCGACTCTTCGGCTTCTCGCAACAGGAGGAAAACAATTGGGCGCATTCAGGCCCCCAAGACTACTACAAAGAACAACGTAACCAAAGAGAGAGCTTCTGTTGGGACCTCACAATCGACCACAAAGAAGGGCACTAAGTTTGGCGGTGCCAAACCAAAGAAGGTAATTCATGGGAGGGGTGAATCCGTCTCCTGGAAAAAGCAAATCGATGCACTTCGACAAGAGATTGCATTGGAGCATGAATTGTTTTCGGAAGAGGTGTTTCACGACGACGATGATGGCGATGATATGATTCGAGTCATTGTACGAAAACGACCCTTCCACCAGGACAAGCCTTCGGATATCGACGTCATCCATCCGCTAGAATACGGTTGTTATGGAAAAATGTTGGTTTATCAGTAAGTACAGTACATCGGCGATGCGGCTTTTTTGGGGTCTCGATGACCTTGGCTGATAGTCGTTCCTTGTGTGTTCGTGTGTTCTAGACCAATCACGAGGGTAGACTTGACGAAAGAAATTTCCAAGATACCCTTTGCATATGATGGTGTGTTTGGAGAAGAATACAACAATTTGCAGATTTATAACAAGGCTGTTCGTAGTTTGATCCCTGTCGTCCTCGAGGGACAGCACTCGACAGTGTTTGCCTTTGGTTGCACCGGATCCGGAAAGACGCACACTATGATGGGATCCAATTTCACCGGCAAGAGAATTGTAGAGGAGGAAAACATGGGGCTGTACTACATGGCAGCCATGGATGTCTTTCGTAGTCTGGAGGAATTCGAGTACAGCCATTTGTCTGTCGGCGTATCTCTTTTTGAGATTTACGGGGGCAAGCTGTTTGATCTGCTCAACGACAGAAAGATGGTCAAATGTTTGGAAGGTAATTTCGTGACTACCGCGTATGCGCCACATACAGCATTCGGCCAGGTGTCCTGACACATCGTCATGTTCTTCCTTGTCGTTGCCAACTCCACAGATCACAAAGGATGCGTTCAGTTTCCTGGACTGAGCGAGCACCGGATTGAAGACCCTGGCGAGCTCATCGAATTGATTGAACTTGGCGCACAGTCCAGGTCAACAGGCACAACGTCCAGGAATTCTGATAGTTCTCGCAGCCACGCGGTTCTTCAACTCCACTTGAGGAAGTCCGTGGGCCGCAAGCAAAATGTAGAACACGGTAGGTCCTTGTGTTCGCTTGGTGTTGTCATGCGCCTGTTTGCTAATTCAATTCGCTTTGTCTCGTATTTCTGCAGGACGATTGACTTTCATCGATCTTGCTGGTTCGGAGAGAGGTGCCGACACTGCGAATTACTCGCGGGCTACGCGCTTAGAAGGAGCCGAGATCAACACTTCCCTCCTCGCCTTGAAAGAGGTGATTCGGGCACGGGCCCGTGGCGGAAGCATGACTCACGTGCCATTTCGAGGAAGCAAGCTTACGTAAGTTGATCGTTGCGGCGAAACGAAACGCGCTTGTGAGCCAAAATCACACTCACACCCCGCTGTCATTTAGGCAAGTTCTAAAGGAAAGCTTCGTGGGTGAAAACTCGCGATGCTTAATGATTGCTTGCATTGCCCCCGATATGGAGAGCTGCGGTGAGATATGCTAAGGTTTGAATCGAATCCCTTGGTCGTCGCTACTTCTAACTCTTTAAGCGCTTGAAACCCGTAGAACAAACATTGAATACATTGCGCTATGCCGATCGAGTGAAAGAGCGCAATGCTGGTACGGGTGCCCTGCCGTCAAGGTTCAAGCGAGGGGGCAGAAGACGCACCAATGCCATGCGATCGACAGCGTCTTTATCCTCCATCGTCTCCATGTCGGATCAATCAGTGAGTCGCACCCAGAAAACTAAGAAAGAGACGCCCAAACAGGAGGAGGAGGAGGAATCAGCATCCGACCACAAATCAAGTAACAAAGAAAGCGGCCCTGAAATCACCCGTTCCAATACCAATCGACGCAATTTCACAAACGAATGCCCACCGACCATCGCAGCGTCTGTGTCTGAAGATGACACCGATGCCTTGCTCGCGGCTGTGCTGTCCGAAGACCCCACGTATCTCGTGCCTGACAACGAAGCCTCACAGACAAACGGCTTGGTAGAAGAACTGGTTGAAACTCACGAGAGTTTCTTGACGACTGTTCTTAAGATGGTGAATGTACGTACCTTTTATTGTATTCTCCGGTTGTTCGTGCATTTAATTGCTTTGCTCAACGCGCTTTTCTTGTCAACGTAAGGATGAGATCGAGGTTGTGATCGCTCTGAAGGCAGACTTGCAGAACGTGAGCACATACAGTCTACAATTGGATTCGCAACTACAAAATCAATCCTCGTTGATAAGTGACCTGAGGTACGCAGCTAAACGTGTGATCGATCGAGTCGATTCAGTTTGTTTCTGATTCATATATTACTTTCCCATTTGCCCATAGGGAATGCTTTGAAACCTATGAGTCCATCAAAGCCACCGAGTTGGGATCACAGCTGCAAAAGCACCGGACTGTTTTGACAAAGCTGCTGGAAATCGTAAGGGACGAGCAACTGCTCGCGAGTGTCCTCAATGATAGCATTGGCGTGATCGACCAGATTGAGTCACTGCAGGACGAAAAGATATCGCAGATATCAGAGCTGCAAGAGGTGAGTCGAGTCAAAATGTCGTGGGAAACTCAACTTTATTCGCACGACACTGCGAGTGACGAGTCGAGTCCTCAGTCGTTCCTCAACGGTTCCTCTATTATTCTCCAGTGTTTCTCTGCTAAGAGCAAGGCAATTCCAGCAGCAGAGTCGAAAGAGCCCGAACTCCTCCTTGCGGAGAGCTTCCAAGCAGACAGCGACGAGATCTCTATAGGATCGTTTGAAGATCTCCGAGACGGCGATGCGTCGAGTAGTGGTGGGGGCGTGTCATGTTGAAGCCATAGATTGAGTAAAGAAATAGCACTGAAAATTAACTGTGACAGGCTTCAGGATTAGTAGACTGCAGGGTCTTTTACCGTACACCTGCCGTCGACGTCAAAGATGAAACGGCAGCAAACGAGGAAAGAGCAGCCCGAAACTACCGGTAGCTAGATCTACTGGTAGAGACTAGTAGAGGACAAGTGAAGGCGGCTTGAAATCAGTTTCTCCTTTGACGAAGCATATTATTACGACGTTGGTCAGCTTAGATTAGTTGGTGGAGCCCCACTCAACTCTGCTGCTCGTTTCAGGCTCGCTGATGTCCAACCTCGGTACCTGGCACCGGTAGTCGAAGCAAAGAGGCAATCGGTTCGTTGTGAAACTGTCACAAGAGAGCAACGAGGGAAAAACCGTGTATGACAAGCACCAAACGGCATGTACTTTTGCTTGTCACCTACTATATCTTACTTCTTCGTTTTGAAACCTTAAGCCCAGTAAATGTGTGACACTCCAATTACACAATCAGTGCCACAATCCTTCAGCCGAATTGCAATTTCAACATCAACTTCTTTGTCCCCTGCCATGCTTGGATCATCCATTAGAACAAGCAGCTCAACAACTCGTTGAGGTTGCTTACGATACTTTTCCTTCAACTCATCCTTGGTCATGCTTGTTACCTTCCCATTGACTGCATATTCAAGTCGAAAGCTGTCAGGAAAGCCGTCGATAGGGTCTCCTTTGCCAAGGAATCTTTCCTGGGTCACCTCCGTAGACGTGGCATTGGCAGCTGTCTTCAACGCTCTACGTTCATTATTCTCAGAGGTCCAATCTTTGGCGATTGTAACCCACTCTTTTTTTGCCCAAGAATGGAACTTGAGAATGATGATCCCTTCCTTCACTTTCACATTCATTACAAGCCATCCTGAGTAGCCATTGCCAAGCAGAATGCCTCGAGAATCGTGGTGACCACTGAGCACACAGTCATTATGTGTCCATCGTGCACAGACAGCATCATAAGTTCCATCACAGTATCCCTGTGGCTCTTCTGCAAGCTCCCACCCTTTGCCAGGTTTGATTTCATCAAGTTCACGGTGCTGCTGCACTCTGAGGGAAGGCTGCTCTACCCCTGTGTTGGTTGTTGTGTCTGCGGTTTGAGCTGGTGGCTTAACTCTGACTGCACTTGAGGAAACATTGAAAGGCACATCTTCGGTCATTCTTCGCCTGCCACTAACAATGGACAGCACATCAACCTCGCCAGAAGGGATGTCGTAGCACTCGTTGTGGGCATCTAGACCCTCATAGAGCGCCTTCTTTTCATTCTTTGGAACGTACCCATCCGCTGTTGGTTTCACAATATTGTTGATACCAGTCTCATTAAAGTCTGCCCGTGGGGTGTAGTGTGTTCGACCCTGTGTTGGCGGCACATTCCAATGGGAGTTAGGCTACTAGGAAATGAAACTCAAGAAATCGCAATCGAAACTGTATCATGCTTACGTTCATGGGGACTTTGCACATTCTTTCTGGCAGTCCTTCATCCTTGATGGAGTAACACTTGCCCAACCCTGGATCCATGTTCTTCACTTTGGTTTGGATGTTCTCATAGTAATCCTTGACATGCCAATAGTCATCTGCCAGAGGTGGTCCACCTAGATGCAAGGAAAATTAGAAACCAGACAACCGTTCAAGCAACTGAAGGTCACAAATCCTAGCATAAAACCTACCCATAGTTCCATCACTGAATTGCTGAATGGCCAACTGCAGAGCCTCGAGAACCGAGAAAGCTAAAACACGACCAGTCAGCTGATGTTGTCGCCATCCTGGATGCCACCTCACTTGACCTGCAAATTTTTCCTTTTGCGTTGCTTCTGGTTTAATGCCATCATCCCGATCAATCCAGCACTTGGAACAATAATCATCGTGCCTTTTGCAGACATCATTATTCGCCGGGTCACATTTCAGGTATCGCACAGCCCATGGCAAAGTTTCTGCCTGCTCATCACTTGTCGTTAATGGAATGCCATCCAAACCAAGCCCAAACTCGCCGACATCAACATCAGCATTTTCATGCAACTCCTTCAAAAGTTCATAGGTTCCTCCGGCACTCCAAAGGACGGGCACATGATCTCCAGCAAGCAAGGCTTGGCGAAAAAAGAGATCAATGTGATTTCGGTTATGAATTTCCGTCATACCCGAATCCCAAATAAGAATATCAATTTTTCGGCCATATATATCGCCGGAGCCCAAGGTATTCTGAAGTGTCCCCAATCCACCTTGTGAGATGTTGCGTGTAATCAGTTTGACTCCTAATCGAGCAAAGATGGGTGCCATGATTCTCTGGAATTGCATGGAATAACTTTGACGAAAGTGATTGCTGAAAATAATTTGACAGAAATCAAACAAAAATTGTGAGCCTGGTAAACGAAAAAAGAACTCTCAATTGCATACATGAGAGTGCATGCTTACCCATGTCCTGCTGCCGAAGAGTGTCCTGCTAGCACCACAGTGAATGTATCATTGGTCATGATAGCATGAAGAATTCTTCTGACCAATCCTTCGAAACTACGTTTGGTGGTCCATCCACCATTTCCACGAGTCATACTGCGCTGAAAGTGTTCTGGTGGACCTTCTGATGTCTTGAAATCAATCTTGTCCCAATGAAACATTTGCATTCTTTCTGACAATCCCTCAGCAGTTTTTGGCTTCGGATGACCATACTCTTCAAAGATGGCCTCCATGGCTCGAGTGACCAAATTGTCAGCATCATTGAGAATGTGGTTGACAAAGACGGCATCACCTTGCCAACTTTCATCAGGAAAGTCGTCCCCTGGTACATCACAAGCAGGGAACTTGTCACACAAGTCCTTGTTTTCGGGACGATTCTCTTCGTCGCCATCCCAGAAATGCCATTTTCCATGTTTGGCCGCCAATTCCTTCTGGACTTCCTCACTGACTGGGATTGATACAGGATCAGGAGGAATAGTTGCTACCTTGGAGTACCCCACGGCTCGTCTGTGTTCTTGCTGCTGGTTGTCACTGTTGTTGCCGTCGTCATTGGTTCTTAGTGACTGGGCGCCGATCAGGTCCACGAAACAAAAGAAGAAGAGCGGAATCACCGCCAAAGAGGCTACCATCTTGGACTGACTTGAATTGTATCTGTCTTGTTGGTGCTATCCGATGTTGCTTTTAATGACCCCTTGCTCTTGATAGTTGTGCTTGGACTTGCTTGGTTGCCGAAAACTGGGACGACGAATATGCGAGTGAGAGACGAGAGACCTCGAGCTAGCTGGACACTGTCGCGATGGAGAGCTGTGTCCCTCGCTACCGGTACCCTTTTCCAAAATGTAGGCTTCCGCCAACAATCAACAGGTCATTGAACCACGATCGAACAGTCACAATTTGGGCCAGGATGACCCGAGAAGTCGAATGAATCGAAAATCGAATGGTGAGTCCACAGTCAAGATCCAAACCCCGAACCAAGATCTTTCGTCGATCTCTCGACTCTCGATCTCCCAGTTTCCAGCAACTACGGACTGCTCAACAGCCAGTATCCACCATGGCAGGAATACCCGGATCAGCGCACTTGAACTTATCCCTTGGCGGCCTCGTCATGCTTGGCGGGGCCATGGGCTATGTGAAAAAGGGAAGTGCTCCAAGTTTGGTGGCTGGTGTGGCCTTTGGATCTATGCTGATCGGATCTGGATACATCATCGCCAAGACAGACTCGCAGTACGAAGGACACGCCCTCGCCACAGGAGCCTCTGGAATCATGGCTTTGGGAATGGCACAAAGATACATGAAAACTGGTAAAATGATGCCTGCAGGTAGGAACATTGCAAAGACTGTCCACAATCTTCGATGCAAATGGAAATGAAAAGGTGCTTCTTAAAATACCCGTTTCTTCTACATATACTTTTCTATTTCTTGACAGGAATTGTGGCCATTTTGGGTGCTGCTGCATGTGCCTATAATGCCAAGAAATCCATGGAATGGGCTCCTTCCAAGTCAGGTATGGTACCAGTTTGATAGACTTTGGCGTATTTATTTGAAGAGCAACCTTTGGCTCACTCAGTTTTTCATTTATTGAAGATTAGACTGATGAAGCCGACCCGATCAGAAGTTAGATTAGTTGACAGTCGCCAGTGTCCATTCGATAGCTCCCCCTTCTTTTTTCACTTGACCCATTGGATCTGCTCTCTACGTAACATGTAGCTGACTAGACAACCAGAACCATCATTTCAGTTCGCGCGTTGCCCTGCCTCTGGCAAGCACAAGGACAGCGAGTAGGAGGATGGCAAGACGGACAGTACATCTTAAAATGCTCTACAAGGTGATACAGAATTAAGTTTAGTTCTGGTTGGATCAATGTACATTATGCCCAGTACAAATGAGTTACTCCAAAGACGCAATGCCGGCCACACCCGCGCATTCGAATTGCCACTTCCAGAGGGCCGCTCTTCTCGCCACCGCCTCCGCTAGCAAAGGTGTCATCGTCCATCAACGTCAGGACCTCAACCATTCTTTGAATGTCTTGTTTCTGGTCCAAGAATGATGTTTCGTTCAAGGTAGTTACGACGCCGTCTATTGCATAGTCAAACTGGAACCATTTTCCCAAAGGCGGAGTTTCATATGAACGTTTACGCAGCAAGCGTTTTCGTTTGGGATCATCAGGCATCTCTTCATCTTCGGGCGCAACGGTCCTCTTTGGCGAGGACTCTCCGTCAGGAAGATTGTTGATTGTTGTCCAGCCAGCGGTTTTCGTGTTGTCACGAGGCTCATGCCACGTGTGGAGCTTCACAACGATAATACCTGCCTGAATTTCCGATCGTGGTACTTGAAGGACTAGCCAGCCCGACAACTCGTTTCCCAGAACGGCCCCTCTTTCATCATGATGGCCGTAAAGTACGCAACGGTTCCAAGTAGACTTTGCACAGACGCTACCCAGTGTCCCATCGCAGTATCCCTGAGGTTCGTCAAAGACTTGCCATCCAAGACCCGGAACAATATCTGTTTCACTTTCTGTGGCCGTACCGGTAGCCATCCCTGGGTCGTCCATTGGTTTTGTCGAGTCACTCTTCTCAATAAGAACACTCTCTCCACTCGGCATTTCCTGTGTTATTGTCGGGTTTTCGATGCTTGTACTTTCTTCGAGTCGTCGTTGGCTATCTCCATCAGACTCGCTACTTTCCCCAAGAATCTCAGCAACCACATCTACGGCTCCAGCTGGAAGTTCCAAGCATGGGTTCGGCATATCTGGACCCTGATAGAGCGGTTTCGTTCTAGGGTTCTGCGGAACGTAGCCATCTGGTGCAGGCTTCAAGATACTAGTGATACTGCTTTTCTCTGGTTGATTGCGAGGCGTATATTGTGTTCGGCCTTTCATTGAGGTCTGACAGATTCGCTCGGGAAGTGTTGTGTTGATCCTGTGACATGTACCCACCGAAGGGTCGAGGCTCTTGACTTTCTTTCGGATGTTATCGTAGTATTCACACATGCCATCGATAGAGTCGTCTTCGGCACGGATACGTCCCAGCGCGTCTTTCAGGGCTTGCAGAATCGCAAACGCTAGAACTCGACCGGTTAATTGGTGGCTTCGCCAGCCAGGGTGCCATTTCACTTGCCCATGGGGTGTATCGTACTGGTTCTGAGCAGGCCGTTTTGCTTCTGGGCGGTCAATCCAACAGGTGGCGCAGAACTTGTGCGGATGCTTGCAAAGATCACGTTCATCTTCGCTGCACTGGAGGCGCTGGACGGCCCATGGAAGTGTGCCGATGTTGGCTTCTGATGTTTCAGGGATTCCATCCAAACCGAGGCCGAACTCTCCAACATCAGCTTCCCCGCTGTTGTGAAGCATTCTTAAGAGATCAAACTAGAAGCAAAAGAAAACACGCACAGTGAGGTCTCAGGCTTTACTAGCTGACGACATGCACATCAGTGTTGTTGTACAGTATGGCGAGAACGTACCTTCCCGCCGGCTGCCCAGACGACTGGCACTCTTCCTTCTACCAATAATGCCTGGCGAAAGAACAAGTCAATGTGCTCAGGTTTATGTTTCTCTGTCATGCCTGTTGCGCGGATGACAAGCACCAACAAATTCGTGAGATCTTCAACCAGAACCTGAATGGTTCATAAGCTAGACCATCTAACCTACCTGCGTCCCAAAGCATCAAATCAATGTTGTTGCCATAGATCGACGAAAAACCCAGAGAAGAATGCACTGTGCCTAGACCTCCCTGGGCCTGATTCCTAGATACCAAGTTGACATGAAGTTGGCGGAATACTGGTTCCATAACCTTCTGAAATTGCATCAAGTAGCTTTGTTGAAAGTGATTGCCATGGCCTGCTGCAGCGCTGTGACCTCCCAAAACTACAGTAAAATCACCTTTTGTTGACATGGCGTAAACCAAACGTTTGACAAGTCCATCCCAGCTGCGATTTGATGTCCACCCGCCATTACCACGATTACCGCGTCTTCGAAATCCTTCGGGAGCTTGAGTGTCATTATTGAGGTCTACTCTCGTCCATGCAAACATCGGGGGTATCGAAGCTTCGTTGTAGCTTCCAAAGTCGATATTCTTTTGGCCATACTCGGCTAGAATGGCAGACATTGCTCTTTCAATGACTCTATCAGCTCTCTGGAGATATTCATTCGATCCAAAGGAGAATTTTATATCAAGAGAGCTCTGATTGGTTGACGGTGACTTAGTGGTCGCAACTTGGTCTTGCTCTTCGAATATCTCCGTCTGAATAGATTGATTGAATGCCATGACCATATCTGAATCATCCGAGTTCGACAAAGATGGCAATGGATATGGATTGTTGTCGTCGTGTTCTTTTCTGTTCAGATGAGTTAATGTAGATGTGTTGGCAGCTGATGTTCTGTCACTACTAGCAGTGCTCTCGTTTGGCACTTGATTGAATGAATCGAAGCCCTCAGGTGTCGAGTCATGTCTGACATTGTATGTTATCCAAAAGCCGATAACCACAACTATAACTAAACCCACCATTGTAACGAAATGTTGGTTTCGAGCGGTGCGGGTATAATTGACTTTCTTGTACGTTTCATCAAATCTGCCTCCGTTCTGAGGTTTCGTCGGAGTTGCCAAGAAACTCTCTGTTTCATCTTGTTCAGGCTCAAGCTCTAGCTCCAGAACCATGGTTCGCGGATGATGTTGCTGTTGTCGTCTTCCACTCATCGACAGGGTGCCAAGTGGTACATGTAATGAAAACCCAAGGGTACAGTACTGTAGTCTACCGATACCTATTAATACCGTAGCTGCCGGGAGCCTCAATCCCTTCTCTTGTGGCCGTGGCCGTACCGGTATAGCAGTAGCCGTTTAGAATTCAAAAAAGTGCTTAGAACGGTCCTGAGAAACTATCCACGACTGAAAGATCGCCTCACATCTGATTCGATTCGATTCTACGACTGTATTCATATCTCTTTTCGTTGTGTTGTGTATTCTACGTGTAGTCTACTAGTACAGGATTGCGCCGATGTTTGTTGTTGTCTCTGCTAGACAGAGCATGGGAGGATTGGTGCAACTGTTCTTTTCAGAAAGAAGCTTCGACCTACCGACACCCTTTCCGGTAATATTGGTGCCGGCGAGGAACAAGAGGTGCGGCCGTTCAATACTGGTCTGGTACCAGGTACCGGTAGCACTGCTTGCACGATGACATGGCACGATGACAATCTTCTCAACGTTGGTTCTAATCAAATACTAGACTAGTGGTTAAGATATCTCTTTCGAAGACAACACGGCACTTTCAGTTCCTATCAGAGGCCTCGACAAGTTGAAGCAATGCAGTTACTATGCGGTACCAATAACGATGCATCCTTAGTAAAACAAGTGCGTTTGCGAGCTTCTCGAAGGCTGCGTTCGAGAAAGTTCCTTGGTCTTGAGTTCTTTGCTGCCGGCACCATTTTTCAGAATGGACACAAGCGGTTGCTTGTTCTCGATGTTTTCAAGTAGCGACACGGAAACGAGATCATCAATCTCTTGACTGTCATAACCTTCGTCCGATGTATCACTGGGGTTTTCGTCGTCGATGTCGCCGTCATCATAGCTGGGAGAAGAAAGTTGGGATGATGACTTGGAAGAGGGGGTTGATTCTGGGGACTCCACTCCCAAACCAGATGGAGAGGTCGGGAACACAGCCAATACCTCAATCGAATCTGCTTGATCGATTTCATCATCATGGTGTCCCGTGAAGGTCATGGTGTTTTGAGAAGGAAGCGATGGTATCTCTGTGATTCCTGTGCTGCAATAGCGTATTGATAAATGATCTACCATGGAGACCTTCTTTTCGATTGAAGGAAACTCATCAGGCACCTCATCATCCTTTGCCCCCATTGCCGTGTCTCCTACTAGGTCGTCGTGACTTGCCGAAGGTCCCATGTTTGTTGGAAACAAAAACGGAGGGGCCGCGAACACAAGGTGTTTCTGCATTATGCTATCACAGACAGTATTGCCTTTGCTGTCATCATCCGCATTGTAAATCAAAGTCTCCAGCGTTGTTTCTTCTTTCCCTTGAGGCAATTCGCTTCCCTCCATGGTATCGGCTTCCTTACCCTCTGGTTTTGAGGTTTCTCCATGGCCTCCCCGTGGGCTAGGGTCTTTGCTCGAACGGCTGCTTTCTTGTGCGGCATTCTGCGTCCTCCTGTCGCCTCCCAACCCTGGTGAACCGCCAATGGTGTCTTTGTCGTCGTCATCATCATCGTTATCATCCTTGCTGTGGACTCTGATTGCATCCGCGTCGTCGACAGTTTTAGTTTCTTCTTCGTTGTTGGCTTCTTCGTCTTCCGGGTCTACTTCAATGGCAAGAGCTTTGCTTTTGTCGTCGTTGGGTTGTCCAGCATCATCATTTCCTTGTGGCGCATCTTGCTTTTTGTCTCGCGCCGATGGTGGGTCAGGAGCTTCTTCCATCTTTTCACGGGTGGAAATTTGCGCTTCGGTGGTTTCTTCTTTAGTATCTTCAGTAGGATCTGGCAGTGGCACACGACACGTAGGATCATATGTCGATTCCATTGGAAACTGGTCGTCGAATTCATTGTGAGGACTATTCCCAGCGAGTTCTCCGTGCAATTCGACAAACTCGTGCTGTTCTTGTTGCTCAACATATTGTGGTTGTTTTTGTGGCGTTTGTGGTTGTTGTTCCTCGCTTGACATGGCCATCCATTGCAAGTGGAGATGCTGCTGCTGTTGTTGATACTGTTGTAGCATGATCATCATGGTTTGTTGTTGCTGCATCATGGCAGCCATCATGGCTTGTTGCTGTTGCAGCTTTTGCTCCATGGTTTGCAATTTGTGATCTACGGCGATCTGGTTTTTCTGCAATTCATTTTGCAGGAGCTGAACAGTTGTCTGGCCCTCGGAGCGGACGAGAAAGGAGACACCCGCAACAATAGCTTCGGCGCTGAGATTTGAATGATCATTGGCACTACTGCTGACTGTGCTACCAGGGATTGATGGACTCGCAAATGAGTTGGAAGTAGGGATTGTTTGAGCAGCAGCTGCAGCATGGTTGATGGGGAAGGGCGGTGCCATTGGCGGCGGCGACGATGCGGGTGTAAAGAATGGATTTCGTGGGGTTGAGCCACTGGCAATGGGCGTTGCGGAGAGGAAACCGGCACTTGTAGTATTTCCAGCAGCCGCCGCCGCCATCATCATTTGTTGCATTCTTTTGGCGGATGGAGGTGTCATTTGGGGTATTGGAGATTGCTGATGTGGGTGTGAGTGCTTTTGATTGGGCCGGTCTGGTATCCTGCCCGTTAACTGAATGGATACGAGTTTGGTACGGGTGACACTGGAGTCTGCATTAGCCAACTGCAATCTCAATTGGTGTACAGGTCGAGGACCTCCTGGGACAACCGAGAATACTTTGAAACAGTCAGAGGTGCCATTGTTAGAATCTTTGTCTCGTACTGGAATCCCTCTACAGGTCATGAGGAGTTCCTCTTCGTTACTTCCTTTTTTCATGACATAAACTTCAATGGAACGTGCCGTACTTATCAATTGGAAGCCTCCGAGAAAGAAGAAATTGCTGTCTCTGTCTCTGTTGCTGGTGGTGGTGGTTTCAGCCACAAAATCCACGTAGCATTGACAGGGAGATGCCTCAATGATGTGGAAAGTAGGTTCTGGGGTAGCAGTGGAATCTGAAGTTTTCTTTGGGAGATCCAAGACAAAGGAGGATCTCTTTCCCTGGTTGGGTCTAAACCAAAGGAAAGAGGAAGGATCTGCTCCTGCATCGTCGTTGGCTGGGTCAGAAAAGGAGCATCTTAATCGACCAATGCTGTTGGTGTTGGCGTCAGAGATAACGGAGGAGGGCGTCGAAGCCATGTTGTTTAGAAAAGAAAGATAATGGAAATCTAGCAAGGCTATTGCGGCTCAATGTTAGGAATAGCACAATGTTATAGGAATAGCAACAAGAGGGAAAACTGAAACCAACACAGGCAAGTACATGTAGTAGAATGCCAAAATGGAATTAAATATAACAAGCGTTTGCCTTGAAAATCTGTGAGGAGGTTCAAAACGATGGCACTTGAATTTGACTGTCACTCCGAGCACACTTTCCTCGCGCTGCCAGCAAGACCCCAACGGATCTTTCTTTGTTTCGTGACTGGTCGAGCGACGGCCAGACCAAAAAATGAAGGCCAATGAATTTTCCACTGAACACAAAAGTTCAAAAGTCGAACCAACGATATTTGTATCCAACCAACATAATAGTCCAAAAGCAACCACCACCATGGCAAGAAAGAAGCAGAAAGGTTCCTCCTCCTCATCATCAGCCTCTTCAAACAGCTCGCCGTATGCAGTGGCTGCAAATCTTCTGACCCAGGTACTAGAGGAGCGGAAGAGTTTCAAGAAATTGGTATATGCTGCCGATGGAAGCTTGAAGGTCTCCAAAGTCGCGTACGCACAAGTGTGTCAAGTGCTCTCCTATAAGTCGATTCTGGATCAAGTCTTGGATCAAGTGCCAAAACTAAAGAAGGATGTACACAATACGGGACTTTTGTACGTCCTGACTTACGAATTGCTTTGGGGTCCCAACAAATCCATCAAGGGTGGAGGTGTCGTCAAACGAAAAATTATGCAACACGAACAACATCTCCTCAAAGCCATTGATTCCAGCACCCAAATAGCCCAACAGTTGAAAGAGCTACAGACCAAGAAGCAACAACAAGCGTTTCCACGATATGCTCGTGTCAACACACTATTGACAAGTACAAAGGAAGTCTGTAATGTTCTCTGCAAGATCAGCAAGGAAAGTAAAAATGACAAAGCAACCATGGAGTTCTATGTGGATGCTCATGTTCCAGATCTATTGGTATTTCCACCTTCACTCGTCACAGATGTCATGAGCAAGCAGGGTGAAAAGGAAGACAAAGACAGCAACGCTGCCCTCACTAGACAACAAGAAGCCATCCGAGATATGATTCAGTCAGGGAAACTCATTCTACAAGACAAAAGTTCTTGCTTTCCTGCTTTTTGCCTCGTACATGGGTTTCAAAGTAGTAACAAGCACAAACAACAAGTGAACCAGCTCAATTATCTGGATGCATGTGCCGCTCCCGGAAATAAAACGCAGCACCTGGCATCTCTTGTTGGCTCCCTCGTCAACAGCAACAAGACGGTCGGCAAGAGGAGGAAACACCCAACAACAACAATCACGGCACTCGATAGGGACTCCACCAGACTGGCGGCTTTATCCAAACGAATGCAACAATTGGCACCCGACAACAATGGTCAGCATGTTCAAGTCGTCACGAGGGAAGCAGACTTTCTAGAAGCCAAACAAGACGACTTTGCGGCACCTTTGGGATCCATTCTATTGGACCCCAGTTGTTCGGGAAGTGGGATTTACACAGCGCCGGATCGTTGGACCGAAAAAACATCATCGTCAGAGTCGATGGAGGAAGAAGAAACTAAAAGAATTGCATCATTGGCCGGCTTTCAGGAAAAAGCGCTTCGGCATGCCATGTCCTTCGAATCTGTGTCGAAGATTGTCTACTCTACGTGCTCGCTTCATGACCGAGAAAACGAAATGGTAGTACAAAAGGCGCTGGATGCTGTCAACAACACGGAAGACGGAGAGAGCAAATCGGAACAGTGGCGTGTCGTGGCTCCCAAAAACCTGCAGAATTGGAACAGACGAGGGCACCGAGTGGACGGAATGAGTGATCGCGACGCCGCTTGTATGATTCGAGCTAGCGCAGAAGACGAAACCAATGGATTCTTTGTGTGTTGCTTGGAAAAAATATCGGGGGAGAACAATGCTGATGATAAAGACGACAACGAATCAACAGAGAGCTTGGTTGTAGTTCCTGAAGGGATGGCTGTGTACAATGGTCAATTCTCATCAACGAATCAAGGTACCGTGCAATCTCGGGCGAAGCAAGATGTTGCACCAGCGCGGGGTAATAAGAACCCAATGAAAGATTCTGAACGCTCAACATCAAAGAAGGGCCCGACAGGGAATGTTCACTCTGCTCCAGAGAGAAAGCACGAACAAAGCAATGCCAACGACAAAGCTGCATCAAAGAAGAAGGCCAAAAAACTTGCTTGGAAAAAGCGGCAAATGGAACAAAAGCAGGAGAGGCTCGAGCAAAAGAAGCAAAAGGTATCCAGCTAGGTAAGACGGATTGGGTGGCCTTGAGGTTTGCTGGTCTTCCCTGTGGGACACCAATCCCGACCCGTTTTTCCCGCAACAGCAATTGGCGCTGAGAACCACGCGGGATGAGAGGGCCGTATTGGTGAATGCCCAGCTCCATGCCAGTAACTAACTGCAATGTCTCTTTAGATAGAGCGATGAAAAGGTGGAGAAAAAGTAGCCTACAAGTTGATCAACCACATAACTGCCATACCAAATGGGACCTACCGGAATGGCTTCGCAAAATGATCGGCAAGAGCATGCGTTACTGCCTTTCTCTGGGTGGATCATAGACAATGGAATGTACATGTAATAATCATTGATCTAGATTGTGTTGCTCTACTCGATTTGTATTGTCGGATGGCTTCAATCGCATGAACCTTTTTGGCCTATGGAATGTTTGCTTCTCAAAGCCGCTGGATGCCTACAACCCCGTGAACCACTTGGCCTTGGAATTTCTTGGTCGACGCAGAAATTGAGCCCGCCGCTGACGACTGGTGCCGGCACAAGTCTCGCAGTCTCGCCCATCACAATAGTAGTTGTCAAGCTGCTGAGTACAGAACATGTAGTAGCTTGAGAGGGTGGCCCCATTCGGACAGAATAGTTGGTGTCCTGCCCTCTCAGTGCCATCTCGTTTCAAGTAGTGCTCGTTCTTGGGGAAATAGTTGCAGTCCCCGTGGGATGATCTGATTTCTGTAATCCCGCCAATCTCACATCCATCCACTATGGGATCTTCAAGGAGCAACAGGAACTTTTCTCGGAATTCGATGCTGTCTCCACAAACATATGCAGTTTGATCGCAAACGAAGACAATACCGTCGGCTGGTGACCAACCAAATCTGCTACATTCGTCGGTCCTCCCCGCAAATTTCCAATTGGCTTTGTCCACATCGTCCAGTTCTCCTGCTATTTCTGCCTCCAGCTCAAGAACTTCATCACCAAGAGCCTCAACCACAGCCGCCATATCCTCTCCCTCTTTCACCTCTAATGTTGTGTCAGCATGCCATTGGGGTCTATATTTTGTTGTTGCTTGGGTCTTCGTGTTGTAGTAAATTGTCTCCCCTGTTTTTTCATCAACATGTTCCTCCCAACCCCCGGGCAGAGGATCTTGTTGTTTTGGCCCCGCCTGTGCGTCTTCTTCTCCAGCCTTGTCAACATCAGAAATTGTGGTGTTGGCGCCTCCACCTGTAGCATCTTCTACAACTGGTGTCCCTTCAATTGGAACAGCTGATGCAACCAATGACTCTGAAGCGCCGCCTGAGAAACCAGCTTCATCTCCATCTTGCTGGGGATCTTCTGCAGCTGGTGCCCCTTCGGCTGGCTCAGCCAATTCAACCAACGAATCTGAGGTATTACCTGGCAAAACATTTTCATCCCCATCTTTCTGGGGATCTTCGTCCGCCGCCTCGTCCCATCCGATGAGTGAGTCTCCAGCCTCATTTTCCTTCTTGTCATCATCAGAAGCCCCAGCCCCAGCAGCAGTGGAGTTTCCAGCATCAGATGAATCCATTGCCACCGTGCTGTCTCCGTCCTTTGCATCAATCTCTTCTTGTTCTGAGCCATCATCAGCTGTCGGATCTTCTTTTGAAGCTTCCTCACTAGCTTCGTCCCCGACTTCGGTAGCTTCTTCGGCAGGAATGTCGGCGCTCAAAGACTGGATGCATTCTCCTTTGTACTCAACCTCATCGCAACCTAAGGCTTCAAAAGAGTCCATATCAATAGTTGGCTCATCTTTTGTCAATGGCATAAATGTGTTGCCCTGGAATACAATCAAGCATTTGCCGCCTTCGTCTGCAATAGCCACGGTGTGCTTGAAGTTGATTCCTCCTGAAAGTTGCGAACTTGCCCGAATAACTTCGAACTGCATCTTCGAACAATCCAACGTTGGAATCGCTTGGACAAGGATGTTCCCACAGAAGGTGTTCGACGCTGATGATGCAGCCCGAAGGAGTCCAAGATTATGGCATGTGTCTTCAATTGCTTCGAACTCATCACCAGCATGGACGGTTGCGAAGGCTAGGAAAACAACCAGCCAGAATCTTGCGTCAAGATAGAGCTTCGTCATTTTTTGTTACTACTAACTTTTTTTGCGGGTCGAGAAAACTTGTGTGATGTTGTGAGAGTGGCTGATCATTGTTTGCCAGAGACTCGATGCACCCAGCAAAAGATCTGGCAACTTTTGAGGTCTGGATGTCTCGGTACTACCTTCGCGTACATTTCTACGCGAGCCGATTGTTGCCAGGTGCAGCCGATCGACTAATCCGATTAAAAAACCATCATCCCGGACCAATGACGAGATTGTTGGCCGGGACGGTACAGTAAGGTATCTTTGTTTGTTACCAGAACCTTGAGTAGCTACCGTATCTACAGTAAGTGGGTCGAACCAACCTTGTTCGTTGCGTACGCTTGTTCATTTGGACAATAGAGGGCAATCTACTAGTACTGGCTGGATTCCATATGTTTTCAACTTTGGACTGGTTGCGTTCGACCCTACCAGCCATCCCCTTTCTCGACCGTTCGCAGGTCCATACGCAACATTTGCTTAGCAAGATGGAAGCTGTTTTGCCCGGGATCGTCGGAGTCCAGATTCATTCACCATCGTGCGATTCCTCGGTGCGTGGCTACTTCTGCTGCCATCACATCTGGTTCCATCAACCGGTGGCACTACCGTATTCCTGCTGGGCAGCGTTCTGGGAAGAGAGAAGCGTTGCTTTGGCTGCCTCATGTGTTGAATTGTAATCACTATGCTGCATATGCGCTATCACCGATTGGCCTGTTCCACTCGTAGCCTGTACGTAATCCATAATTATAAATACTACTAGTAGTATGCTTCCGTGCGCCATCTCCCTGCCGTCAGCCAGCGAGATGTGAACATTCCCCGTCTGGATCATTACATGCACCGCCCTGCCCAGCCATGCAATGAGGTCTTGGCATTTCTCATTATTTGATTGCGTTGTTGACTGCATCACTCTCCTTCAGCTTGGCTTTGAGAAATTAGCAGAGTCGTATGACCAAAGAAGATTCTTCAGAACTGCACGAAGCGTTCACCAGCCACTACCACGCACTTATTCTGCCATTCCATCCACTCCTGAAAGGGCTCGATGCAGTAGCCAACTCTAAAAAGTGACCAGTTTCTTTGGGAGGACTGCGGGATTGCCGGCCAAAGCAATATTTCAAGCGAGATGGTTCATTTCCGCGGGGAGGCCGGACAAACCTCCAAGTTCCTTAGCTTCCGTTCCTAGTCGAAGCGCAATATGGTTTTCCTGATATCCTCGGAATGCCACAATATTCGCTTCGTTGCACAAAGCGCGGCATTTGCATAATCGAGAACTGTATGTCCACAGAGACGTTGGGTCACTCAAATCTGGAACGTGCCTGCTGTGAACAAATGGAGTACTTGGTGCAGATGCACTGGTCCGAGCTCAAGGCAGCACATTCCCAAGGCATAAGTTTCTCCATTCCTCTATATTTTCCTCGGAGCCTACGTGCAGTCGAATCGTAGTTCCTTCCACTACGGAACCGTCTCGACCCGATGATATATCATGCTGTGGTTTGATTACAACGAGCATCTTTTGTTCCTTCTCCCTCCACTCTCGAACTTTCGGCAACTTCCATGATTTCGAAGCTCTAACACTACGAAAGCAAGGGCTGCAGCTGGACCGTGTTCGAGGATTGAAGAGGTACATGCAACGTCGAAGCAACACTTGTTTTGACAATTGACGGTTGGACGGAACGAACAATGTTTGACTATAGCTAACCAATCGGTCCCGCAGCCATGAACGAGAGGATGCAATCTCCCATCAAGTTTCGACCTCATGGCTTGCCAGTCTGTTGAGACGTCTTTTGTTTGTCCGCGTTGTGTTCACCCGTCGCAATCGCACCCAGGCCGGCCGCAATTCAAACTGCATGTTTGCAAAAAGTGAGACGGGTTGACGAAACGATGGGGCATCGTCGGTAAGATGATCCGGCTCCAGGTTCAGATCCAATGAAAGACGGGGCGAAGCCAACAGAAGGCAATCATCGCACGGGAGACGTTGGACACGAGTATTCGAGACGGAGGAGGACGCCACTCTCTTGGTACTAGCTAGTACCGGTATCCTGGAGGATGCGTCCATTTGCACAATGTGGCCAACAGTTTTCATTCAAAACGGGTGCCGATACGTACCGGTACCGTTAACGGTACCGGTACCAGTACATGTACCGCTACCAGTACCGGTACAGCTGTACCTGGTACCTGGTATCAATAACCAGGTTTCACGGAGCCCTAACCCTAGTTCTAATGAACCCTAACTCTAAAACCAGAATTGGAAACGTCCGAGCTAGTCAAGTTTCTCCGCATTCACACTACCTGTACCGCTAGCGGTACCAAGACAGGTCAGCAGACCCCATGCCCAGCTGGCCTAACGCTTACGACTGTACAACTGTACTCTACGAGCTCTACGCTTTTTGATTGGAGACGTCGAATTTACGCCTACGCACGTCCGCGATCCGGTCGCAGGTCACAGGAAAGTTACCCAGTACTCCCTCAAGGAGTAGTTGTTGTTAGTTAGTTTATCAGCTGTTTATCCGAGGGTAAAATTTTCTTTCCTTCCTTGGAATTCCATGTTCTGACAAGTCTGACACTGTGACCTGTGACATACCTACAGGAGTTCCTACAGGTCACCAGTGCCGCCATACGCCATACTCCGTACTAGCTAGGACTCTGGAGTAACATCTGAGTACTCAGATTTTAGAAACAGAAAAGAATTTCTTGACAGTGAAATACACAGACTGACTTGTAAGAAAACTTCCCAGTATTGAGACCTCAAAGAAATACTACTCCAGTCTGACACCATGAAAATGCTCCAAACTTGTGTCTAATTCTGAAAAATTCCTGCTGGAGGCAGAGACAGTGATCACCATGGTGCTCTACATGTATTTCATCCAAATCCTGGGCAAGTTGGACCACAAGGCCCAGGTGACTGGGTGTATTCCTATTCCAACCTGTTTGATGTAGAAGCTTAGTAAGAAATTCTTCTATACTGAAATTGGCTTGTTTGGTTAGAAACGAAGTGAGTAGCAAAATAGGGCAGATGGGTAAGAAAGCCCTCATCAGTGCATGCACTATGTACTAGTTTCAAATTACAGCCATCTTACTATTGAGTTTGGAGATGATCACTATCTGAGAGCTATCTGACTACATGTACAGGGAGCCTTCATGATAATGCAATACTGTATTGCAAATGTCCAAGAAAAGGGTGCTCGTGCCTCGATAAGTGTAAAATGTGACTGTAACAGTCTATGACTGACTGTATGACGGTTCAATCTACTGTATACAGTAAAGCTACAGTGATCCACGAATGGTCCAGACATTCCACCTTGGCGTTCACCGAAACAACCATTTCTTTGTTTAACACCTCTCAAATTGAATCAAAGAACTGTCTCTGGCTTTTAAAAATCTCACTCTCAACTTAGAAATGTCACTTATAAAATTGTAATTTCAGTGCCTTAGTGCAATTCCAGCCCGTATCGCGCTTATTAACACGAGGACTTATGCAATTTCAGCGACACTATGTAATTTCAGCACAACGACTGAAATTGCTCTCACTCGCTTAAATTACACTCTTCCAAAAGATCTATCTAGGATTTAACGAGCGAATCCCTGCGGTCTGTTGTTTCGGTGAGCGGCGCTCAGTGAGCGCCCTTTTTCCTTCAAGAGTTTCTCGATTGAAAAGAATCTGAATCACTATCTTCATTTTACTCCGAATACATCGTACCGGTACTGTTATTTAGATTCGATTCCTAAGCCGCAAAGACTCCCCGGTGAGCTTCCGCATGAGCTGCATCGCTTGGAGAACTCGAGGAGCCTTGGAGCCAGGTTTGGAGCATAGAGACCGGAGACACCGTTTACAGTACAAAGAACAATTTCTCCCTCTTACCTTTCTGCTTGGGCTGAAAATTGCTTAGAGGGGACGCACCTATAGCTGACAACGCATTATTTAAGAACCGGTATTCGACTACAACGAGGGCAGAAAAGGAAACGCCCGGAGCTCCGTTCAAGTTTCAACCTTAGACTAAAATATTCGACTTTAGCTTTTGTATAGCTACTTTTATTCTGGTGAGAGGCTGGCGTTCTGCAGCCACTCAAATCGAAAGGAAGAAAAGTCACTCCGGAGCAAACAAAGCTGACCATGACAACCAAAGACCCGTCGTTTCGACTGCTCTCTGCTCTTTCAAGTGTTCTTCATCATGATCTTCTTGAGGGGCGTCATCTGCTGGGACAACTCTGGCTCTACTTCGAAAGAATCATCAGAGAGTGAGAATGAAGAGCGTGGGGGTGGAAGATTGCGACGATTGCGGCGTCCATTGCGTCCACGGCGACTAGGAGGAGCGGACAAGACTTCTTCGTCATGATTCTGGACGACCGAAGAAGAGGCGGCAACAGCGGGAGCCTTCGGTTTCGGCGTTCCAAGGCGCTTCTTAATACTGTGAAAGTAGAGAGTCACAACAAAGTTAGATGTGGTCTTGAGAATGATGACTTCCGATGTTGCCTCGACAACCGTGTCGATATCCGAGTGTTCACTGGCCAGGAAGTTAACAATTTGCTGGAGCCTTTCGTTATCAAGGATCACGTCGCTGGTAAAAACAGCATCCATCCTTGCATCCTGAGTCTTTCCAAGCTCAATCGCCGCGTTGATGGCCTTGTTTAGTTTCTTGAGGTCACTTTCTTTGAGATCCACCATCTTCATCTCTTCTGTTGCGCCCGAGACAGTGATGTGGGAATGGCTACTACTATAGATGGTTGGCATGATGATAATGCTTGGTGGAATTGTGTGATCGAGGCTCTGTTTCAGTGACTCTGCTGCCTGCTGGTCGAGCGGAGTGTCTTCCCCCAAAAACCGAGGGAAAGAATTTGAATTCAAATTCAATCCTCTTGTCGGCACTCCTGCAATCCACAGCTCATTTTCTTTCTATCATGGCGCAACGTTGGCTCACTGTTGCGACTCTCACCGGAGAGGACGCTGGCCACGCTATGGCGGCATTGGAAGTTACCCTTGTGGATGGAACAATCCAAAATTTGGCTGGCTGTGTCAAGCTTCAACGTTACGGCAACTCCATCCTGTTTCGTGTGGCCGTGTTCCCTGCCAATGACGCCACTCACCCTTCTGCTATCTTCTGCTTGCCTGCGGATGTCCCTTATGAGATGGAGCGTCCTCGACGTGTGAGGAGTATCAATGACACAAGAGCTCTTTGGTTGTCTTTGACAGTGACAAATCCAACCGAAGGTTTTACTCGAATGACTTTCCGGATCCCTTATGACGACACTGCCATTCTCTTTGGAGAGGCGCTCAGGTTTGCAGAGCAAACTGTCAAGCGGGCCTTTGAATAATTCATTCTTCTTGTAGTGGTAACAAGTTTCTAGAAATAGTATTGATCTAATCGGCAATTGATCTCTTGGTTGAAGCTCCAACAATTGTACCAGTACTAGCTAATAGCTAGACGATGGAGCCCCAACAACTTGTAGCCCATCATACTCTCTCTCTGCTACAAGAGCTCTTTCGTAGACTACACAATCGAAGATGGTTTGTGCTCCCTACATCGGAGGATATCGCTGTAGCCAACAACTCTATCTGCACAGTTCTTGGCCTCGACTACAATACTCTCAAGCACATGCTGTTGGCAATTGGTATTACTTATGAAGCTAGCGATCAGCAAGTAGCTATCTGCGACAACGACGCAATCGACGCATTGAATGCTACTAGTCATTTTAAAAGTGCGAAAGTTTCTTTCAAGGTACAAGCAATTGCTCTCCAGCACGGAGAACGACGGCTGCTGTTTGTCATCCGCAATAAACCACGGAGCACTGAGGCGAACCCAACTGTCTCTTTCACCAATGCTCCAATGCTTGGAGATGGACAGAACACTCTCAAGAGGTTCCATCACAAAAGGAGCCCCATTCATTACATTCAGCAAGGATGCGCAACCATCCAAAAGGTGGGCAAATTGCAAGAAGCAATCGACTGCTGGACAGCTGCGTACTCATCCAATCAGTCACCGGGTATTCCGTCCAAGCGACCAGGTACACCATCGTCGGCACAAGCCGCGACGACACCCCATCAGGAAAATCCAAGAAGACGCATTTCTTTCAACACCTCTATCGTTGTTCCCCGAGCAGATCGAATGGATCTAGACGAGGAGGGGGTGGAAGCCATTCTCACTCCAGCAACGTATGAAACAGATGGCGACAGCGCATCGCTGCCATTTCCACAACTGCCTACACGCGAAGAAGAAGATGACAGTGAGACCGAGACATCGTTTGATCCGCCACCTTACAATCCATTCAGTCCTTCGATGATACAAGATCTTATCCAAGCACCTGAATGGAATGAACCACCAGAAATGACTCTAGCCAAACAGCTCAACTTTACCACAAGAGAGAATGGAAAAAGACCATCGCGATTCGGTGATGGTGTTATTGAATTGGTAACAAATAGAAGACGTCCCGACAAGTCGATGCGTTGGATGGCCTTGTGCGTCGCACTGTCATGGGGGTACAGTATGCCCAAGCTGCCTCTGAAGACAAAGCTTTCCATTGCTGAAGCTTCCTGCCGATTGGTAGCATACGACAAGGGATACCCAAAACCACCAAAAGGTCACCGACTTAGTTTTTGGTGCAAATCGCTGGAGCAGTCAGTCAAGACGGGCGAAGTGTTGGTACATGATGTGCTGACCTTCAAAGAAGGCAACCAAGGTGGTACTTATCTTGACGAGATCGATGCTCTCTACCCCGGATACGTGTTGAGCCTCTTCAGGAGAGCCCAGGAAGCAGACGAGGTTGGCAATGAGGCATCATTTCGCGAGACAGCCTTTGCAATGCGTCGACTGTCGGCAAAAGATGTGGATGAGGAAAAGCACTTGAAATTGAGTGGTTGGCAGCTAGCCAACTGGTTCAAGAAGAAAGAGGGAAAGGCAATCAAGTCAGTCAGCAGGCCAATCCTTACCGAGGAAAAGAAGAAACAGCGAGTGTTGTGGGCTCAGCAACGCCTGAGAGAACTGGAACAACACTATCTTGTGGGAGCAGCTGCAGCCGCGGAACAGAGCGACTCGGATTTCGATTCTGATTCCGAAGATATCGACCGATTCAGAGAACCGCATCCTGGTCCACCATATTACGTGTTCCTTGATGAGAAATGGTTCTATATCCAATCAAAGAGGCGAAAGATCAAGAGACTTCCCCAGCAGCCCGGTGAAGTCTCCAATATGGAAGAGCTCTATCCACCAAAGCGAGAGGCAAGTAGGAGGTTTTCCAAGAAGGTAATGTTTATGGGTGTGATGGCTTGCCCACACTTCGAGCATGACTTTGATGGAAAGATATTGATGAAAAGGGTGAGTGAGACAGTGTTAGCCAAGAAAAGCACATACTACAAACAGATAGTCGACAATTACCAAATCAATAACGACATCCACATAGGATGGAGGTTGCTCATTGGTGATACTATTGGTATGACCGTAGGGCAGCTCCTTGACAAGATACAAAGCCAACACCATTGGGGCATTGATCAACCCACAAGAGAGAGGCTTGTGTTGAGGTATGTCATTTTTCCTGGAGGCAAAAAGAAGAAGTGGGTAACTTTCAAAGAAACTGAGAGAGTGCGCGGCAAATTTGGCTTCTTCGAAAAAAGGAATTCCAAGTGCTTCATCGACCTCGATAAGCACGTCCACTTGCAATTCGTTCGCAGAAAGGGAGATGAGTATGAGCAGGATACAACATGCGATTCGAAATTCATGGCAGCAAACATGCTCGAAATTGGAGCAGCAATCCGGAAAGCGTACCACTGGGTCCCCATTGAGCAAGAGATCATGTTGATCATGGACAATGCCGGAGGCCATGGAACCAAAGACTGTATTGATGAGTACGTAGCCAAGCTGAAGCAGCGATACAACGTCGTGGTGGAGCATCAAATCCCAAGAAGTCCGGAGACCAATCTTCTTGACTTGGGAGTGTGGATGGGCCTTCAAAATCACGTGGAAAAACTTCACAGGACCAGGACAAAGACAAGCGCCAGTGCTCTAGCAAGAACTGTGGTGGAGGCATGGGAAAGTTACGACTCGTATCGAGCCTTCCGGAACGTCTTCAAGCGCTGGGATAAGGTGTTGCGGCTAATTGTTGCTGGGCACGGCGATAACACTTTGGTCGACAAGGCCCGCCGGAAGGTGATGGTTCCGATCGTCATTCAACCTTCCCCTGGGACACTTGATGACGAACGGGAAGCTGCAGAGGACGATGAACAGGCTCTCTTTGCTGAAGAAGAAGACATTGTAAGGGTGCTAGAAGAGGCGGAAGACGGCTGATGTGGTTGGTTACCATAGTCATGGTGGCTGCTTTTTTTGTCACGATGATTTGGATCGATCCGTATGCACGCCGGACCAACAGTGCAAGAGTTAACAGCTAGTACCGCTTATCTATGATCAAAACTTGTTCTATTGGTGCCAGCCGTGGAACCTGCCCTCTAAATCCAATCCACGACTTGCCCTCTAAGCAAATTTTCGCCCAAGCAGAAAGGTACAAGAGAAGGGAAAGAAAAGGGAACTGGAGCTTGCTTGGAGGCAACAGCCAAATTTTAACTATCAACAGCGTTGTCCATTACTCACTGCGGCAAGGGTAGCTGGAAATAATACCCAATACTGTACCCATCGCCCTCCTCCCGCCTCATCAGGAGCACACAACATAAGCAACAACCAACAAAATCTGATAAGATGGACCAACAACAGCCGCCGAGACAAAACGCGTTTTGCTTGGATGTGGAGGATCAGAGAGATGGGATGAAGGATGACAGCACAAAGAAGCACAAGCAGAAGCAGTACGATGCGCCACGACGAAATTGGGTTGTTGTGGCGGTAGCGCTGATTCTGTGGACGGGTTGTACACTCGCGTTGAGTTATTTGGCGTATCAAATGGCCCGCGAGCAAGAGAACCAGGAATTCGAGGCCAAGTTTACGGACTTTGCCAATGAGATCATCCGTTCGAGTGTCAACAACGCGCGCAACTCGCATCTCGTCTTGGAAAGCTTTGGGCGAACCGTCACTTCCTTGGCCCTCTACTCCAATGCTACTTGGCCGCTGCTGACACTGCCTCACTACGAGACCCGTTCCAACGACTACATTACCATAACCAAGGCGGAGTCCATCACCTTTTGTCCCGTCGTGTCGGCTGCCATGCGGACCAAGTACGAGAACTACACGGTCGAAAACCAAGGCTGGATCCAACAAGGGATCGACTACGAGTACTACCGCAACATTTTTGTCAATGATCGAGAAGAAGAAGACTCACCATCAGACAACAACCAAGAAGTAGATCTTGTCATCAACAGGGAAGGATTCAGCGTCCTCAACAGAGCCAAACCAATTCAACCATTCATATGGACTCACGCTCCATTGACACATCGCGCCGTTCCGGAAGAGTCGCTCGGGCCGTATGTCCCCATTTGGCAGACGTTCCCCGCACCCCGCAACAGCTTTGTGGTGGGCAACAATCTAATGTCCGTTCCGGATTTCTACTCGCTCCTTCGAGATTCCTTCACCAGAAAAGCGACCACGCTGTCCGATATATTCGACAATAACTTCCGGTTGTTTGGGAACGCTCAAACCATTGATGTCGATCCCAAATCGGTTCTCGTCCAACCGATCTTTGAAAACATTCTCTTGCACCAACAACAGCAACAACACGCGGACGGCCAGATTGTCGGTTACATGATTGTCATCAAAAAGTGGCACCAAATCTTTCAAGACGTTCTCTACCGTGGTGCCAAACCTGTCGATGTCGTATTACGAAACACATGCGACAAGGCATTCACCTACAGAATCATTGGCTCCGAAGGCTACTTCTTGGGAAAGGGAGACTTGCACGATCCTCGCTATTCCCAAGTTATAAACATGACGGTAGAGGCATCGCTTTTCGACGAACCATCTTCCACCATCTACAGCGCATGTCATCATTCTCTACACATTTATCCCACCAGAGAAATGGAAGACGATTACCGAAACAATCTTCCTGCCATTGTGGCCATCACGATCGTGTCCTTTTGTGTTCTCGTTGGAGTGGGCTTGTATCTATGGAGCCACATGACCAAGAAACACCAGCAAAACAAACTCAACGCACAATCGCAGCAACAACATGCCCAATTGAATATTGATCATGCACGACAAGCCGCTGCCGCGGAACGACAATTGAATGGTGCGTTCACGAAGGAAAATCCATTCGAAAACCCTTTATTTATTGTCATCTCACGTTCCCTTCTTTCTCTGTAGAATTTATTGCGCATGAAGTCCGCAACCCATTGGCTGCCGCCATGTCTGCCTGCAGCTTTGTCTCGTCCGCCGTACAAGATTTGAGCGAACTGGCAGCCTCCTTGCCAACAGCACAGCCTGCTGCACCTCCAAAACCTCTTTTTGGCATTGCACCACAGCAACAACAACCTCCACCCTTGTTTGCCATGTCACTACCAGCAGACAACACGCCACCGCAGAAAACACAACAACTACAAAAGCAGCAGGACTCCATTATGGAAGATCTACACATCATTGATAGCAGTTTGAATTTCATCAACGAGTTGCTCCGAAATATGCTCGATGTCCAGGTGCGTTTCTCACTCAGTCTCCAGGTGGGCGGAATTGAATTGATGGCTAAAACACCGATCCGAATCACTCACACTGGTTCTTTTTCTCTCTGTGTGTCATAGCGAGCGTCACACCATCAGCTCAAAATAGACATGGCGCCAACAGATGTCCTGCGAGACATTCTGGAGCCCGTTGATGCCATGCTGTATCGACGAGGACGCAGCGACGTCAAAGTGATTGTAGAATGCCCTCACACCGACATGATGGTCATGACCGACCGACTCAGATTGAAGCAGGTTGTACTGAATCTCAGCAGGAACTCAATCAAGTTTGTGGAAAAAGGGTTCATCAAACTCAAGGTTGTCGTTGTAGGGGAGGACAGGCATACTCAAATTTGGGTGGAAGACACTGGTCCAGGCATCCCGGAGGAGAAAAAGGACAGGCTCTTTGCCAAATTCCAAGAGAGCTTGGATTCTCTTTCTCAGGGAACTGGAATTGGTCTCTCTTTGTGTAAAATTCTCATGGGTCTCATGGGCGGTGATGTAGCCCTGGACCGTACGTACAACAGTGGAGTTGAGGGACTGCCGGGGGCGCGTTTTATCATTGACCTGAAGACACCTCCAATCGACCAGGACGAAGGGGATCACTTCTTCGATGAAGACGTGCAAGAGGCAGTTGCAAACGGCGGTGGCGATATTGAAGCACCAGCACCATCGCTGTCAATTGCAAATGGTTCCCAACATAGCAACAATACCGGTTCCACAGAACAAACCTCCCTCATGACCGTCCCTGAACAAGCTGCTTCGATGCGGCCATCAACTGCAGACCTTAACCTTCCACAGGAACTAAAAGTTCTGTTTGTCGACGATGACACGGTGCTAAGAAAGCTCTTTGTCAGAGCAGTACGTCGAATTGCGCCAGAATGGAAGATCCAAGAAGCAGCCAGCGGGGAAGCGGCACTGCGCCTTGTTGATGAGTTCAATGAAAGTAACCAAGACAAGTCTCAAGACTTGTTCGACTTGATTTTCATGGATCAGTAAGGCATTGGATCACTCTTGACGAAAACATTGAGTCACACCTAACTTTTCTGCTCATTGTCCTCTTTCGTTCACAGGTACATGGCCAGCACACAAAAACAGTTGCTTGGCACGGAGGTCGTCCAAGCGCTGAGATCCAGGGGCGTCAAATCCAAAGTATGTGGGCTGTCGGCAAACGATATGGCGAACGACTTCTTCGCAGCTGGATCAGACGCCTTCATTTGTAAGCCTCTTCCGGCCCAAAAAGACATTCTTCGAGAAGTGCTTTACGACCTTTTGTTCCGAACTAGAGATTCCTGCGAACACGCCCCCTCGGTTGGCAGTAGAGGCAGGTCGGCGCTGGTCATCACACCTTCCAACGATGCAATGTCAGCCTTGTCAGAATGTGAAAGTATCCCGAAAGTATCCAAACAGCTGACGGCGGCACGAGCAACCAACAAAAGTCCTCCACCCGTTGCACAACCCGCGACGAGTTCCAGCGCTGAGCCTGTTGTGGTGCTGGTGGGGTCCGACAAATTTGTAGGCTGCTAGCTTCCAGGCCCACCACCCAGCGTCCACCGCATACCAAATATACCACAGAATTTGTCCATCTCACTTCAGTCGGGTGGCTCAATGTTGCATGTTCAGTGGATGTCAGTTTCTTGACGTCCGTTCCTGGCTTGACAAAAACTGTGGTCGACGCCTTGGTGACAGGAATTTGTGAGTTTCCTCACTTTCCTTATGATTACAGACATCCAGAATCTTCAGCAAGATGTCAGTCGTCAAGTCGTCCCATTTGCTGCGGTTGTTGAATGGCATTTTCCCACTGTTGGGATTGTACCATACTGTGACAGGCTCTCAAATCAGCAGGCATCCCAGCCATGCCAGCAGGAAGATGCCAAAAAGTGCCTCCGAGCTCTCCAGGCGGTTCCTTGGCGCTTTTCGGCTGTTCACATGATGTTCCAAGCTCGGCCTGCATCGTGTCATCTCTCGGGAGCTGCAACCTTTGGAGCACAAATTCGAAGTAACATGGTATCTTGATCTTGCGAGACTGGTGTTGCGCTGCTGGAGATAGATGCTCCGTTTTACTTACGAACGATTGACAAAACATCTGTTACTGTGGTTCGGCTCTTTTAGCTTTGCAATAATAGTACAGTAGTAACATCTATGAAATCACCTGCGTCCTCAAATCTACACTGCAGGCAGTCCCACTTGCCTGTACCGCGTACAGGCAGCAACCCTTGGATCTAGATTCCATTCGACAGAGAAAACAATCTAGTAGCTACTACCAGGTAGTGCGACTTCTCATGGACCATCTCGCTCCACAAGTTTCAGAGAAGGTTCAATATGATAAAGGCTCGATGCCTACTCTTGTTGACTAAACCTAGCGATAAAAAGAGTTGGAAGAATCAAAAGAGATTGCACATTAAACTAAACTAACCTAAACAACAACGCGCTGCATTGTACCCATCAGCACAGCCCAAGAACGCTCCGCCAGCCACCGCAAGACCTGGAAATATCAACCGACGGCACCCCTACAGCGCACCCACCCACTAGCGTCTTCTCCTCAGGATGCTTCCACGAATTTGGCATGAACGCACGCAGCCTAATAGTCCAAACAGAATCAAGCAGACATAAAACCGCGCCGACGCCGTGTGTCCCAGGGACACCCTTTGTGCGTACGTAGTTCGGGTTTATTGATGCGTCCGGCACATTTGCAAATGGGATATCGTAATCGCCCCGAGCGTGGCACAAGTAAAGAGGGTACTCGGCTCGTTCCACCTCCCCAATGAGATCCAGGTCTTGTAGTGCCGCACAGAGCTTGTCTGTTTCATTGGTCACACTTGTCACACATGGGTTGGTATCATTCCTGGCATTTCCCTGTTGGACCAAATTGACAAATGCCGGGTTGTAGATTTTCAATGGATCGCCATCTGGGATCATGCGCTTTACACCCTCAGCGTGCATCATCGGTCTTTGTGCCTCTGCTATCCAAGTATCTCGATATTCATCAGCTAACAAATCTTGACCTGCTCCATAGTTTTTGGCGTCTGTGTTTGTGGTGGAAAGTCCAGCTGCCAGCAAAGGCATGAAATAATAAGTCAATGGTGGTTTCTCGTTCCGGGCATTTGCTATAAAATGGCTAACCGTTTCAGACGACATTCTATACGGCGCCCCTCCCGCGCGAACAGCCACCACATTCTTGCCCATGCGATGCAGAGCATCTCCAAGAACCACAGCACCATAGCCACTTTGACTGTATCCAGTTATAAAGTAAGCATCTGCCATTGCTGAAGTACAGTCAGACTGCTCAGAAACGATGGCTTCGGATTGCCAAATCAATGGTACAAGTGATGTGATGATGGATTGCTTTAGCATGAAACCTCTGTAGTAATCTCCACTCTCGACCCATCCAATGTCGTCCGGTAACAATGCGTAGCTTATTGATACAGAACTGAGCATGATTCCAACAATAGCGGGATGGTCGTTCACAGTAGTCAAAGGGGGGCGAACATTACTGGGAGGAAAAAATGAATATGACGGCAATATAGTGACAGGCAGCGTTGAATGTAGAAGCTCTCCAGTTGTGACATCATATGGTGCCACCAACAAACCCGAGTGCATAGCATGGAATCCATAATCTTGAGGACGACAGCCAACATTTTTGGGATACAATGCGTCATCATCGAAATCAGAGCATCGACCACAAACTTTCCACAGTTGAACATCATACTTCAGCTGGGACAGCACAAGTGTGTCCAAGGTAAGAATGACGGCTTCTGGGGCAGCAAGTCTCTCTCGCAAAAGTGCAGCGGCCACTTCTCTGATATCAGCTATGCTCAGTGTATCAATCAGAGTATTACAGGGAACATCGACCGTTTGCAGTCGCCTTTCCCCGGCAACACCAAAATCATCGGAATTTTCCACAAGATGGCTCAGCAATTGTCCGAGTGCCTCCTTTGCAAGCTGATCAGTGTGCGCTCGCATTTTTTCTAGCAGCACAACGACACCACAAAGAGCCAATAGCAATCCCACCACCACGGTGCCAACCTTCTTGGAAGCAATCATCATGGTAGCTAATGGACTCAATTTTACAGGCACTCTAGCTAGTCTAGTTTGAAATTATGGAAGATGGTGTGTGGAGGCTGTGCTCATCGGTTGAGGCGTTGAAGGCTCTTGGTGGACGGAGCGAGTGCGTTCGGTCAAAGTCGGATTGCAGTCACATAGGATGCCAACATGGTAATTAGGTTGAGTACTTATACCGATGGTTGTCTGGATCTCCTAATCACCAAACCGTTCAAGAGTATGCCGGCTTTCGTTTGCACCAAAACTAACGTGTCTCTTGAGTCCCAGTCGAGTCCAGTCGAGTGAGTCAAGTCGAGTCACGACTCGACTCGTCACTCAACTACCGGATTGGGGTGGGTCAATCGAATAATAGCCGCATGAATCGAATCAATCGATTAATCAATGAGAGGAAGGGCAAAAGGGTCGCCAGTGGCTTCCAAAGAATACGGGACAGATGTACCGCGTATTTCTTTCTAAAGAGTGCATGTACATTACACCATCAAATTGGTACTGTACCTGGTACCAGTACATACATGTATGCACACACGCACCGTACGTACCCACGGTTGGTTGGTTGTCCAAGAAAGACAGCTTTTCATTTCAGCTAGATGAGGTAATAGCTCTTCAAATACAACAGTAAATGCAACCCTTAACCTTATATTTACCGCATCTTTCCATATGCACTGTTTTCCACTCAACACGTCACGATGAGGTTGTGGGAAAGTGCCACAAAACAGCTTGTGGGTTCGGGGTCCGAGAAAGATATGCTTTGACATTGCTCTCCCATTGGCCAAATCCAAAAAGAAACTATCCAAAGTCCGGCTGAAAGCTTTGAA